ATGCCAAGGTTGGAGACCCCTGGTTTAGACTATGCTTTAAAGTTCATTAGACTTCCACAAACGGCGGGCGGGGAAAGGAGGGATTCATAGGGCCACATCCTTAAAGTCCTAGAACCTGAATACTATTGAACCCAGAGTGAGGAACCAGAATAAGGCCTAACTCAAAAGAATGCAAAGAACTAATGGAATTTTAGGGAAAAATAAGGGCATACAAATAAGGGTGTGCTGTGGAGTTAGTAACTGAGGGACTCTACATATAAACCCTAATACTTTGAACTGGACTCTGACTAGAAGAAGGAGCCCACTAAAAGAAGTAGTATTTTTACACATACCTGCTAAGTAAAAAAAAATCAGATTTATTTGATCTTACCTTCCATTTCAGTAAAATCTTTTGTTTCACCCAGTGCTAGCAAAAACTCTTTGAAATCTATTTCATCATTTTCTGAAAAACATTAATGCACAGAACACTTCTGGGACACAGGAAAACATGCACAGGAAAGTACTCCTTATTGTTTGATGGGAATTGCACATATTTTAATGACTACATAAAAATGAAAGAAAACTTTAAGCTGGTACTAATATTTTTATATTCCCTTTTCTATTAGCAGGGTATTTGTCATATTTTTTTTCCTTTTGTGGATTGTAAAATAATCTTACTTAGTTAAGGATGTGACTTAGCTTTCGACCAAATCTGTGATTGTTTTCACCCTCAGCTTTTGTGCATTTTGGAGGAGACTGTTGAAACTTAAATTATGTAAAATAAAGTTTATCTCTTAATTCTTACTTTAAAAAAAAAGACAGCAAAGAGCAAGAGAGAAAGGATAAGGCCACAAAGATAAATCGGAATTACTGGATAAATGTTTGAATGTTAAGATGTGTATGTGGCTTGTTGAAGAGTAGTTGCATAACTTATTGAAAGATTGTTGTCAACCTTGGAAAGTAATTCCAAGAAGAAGCTCTAACTTTATTGTAAGATTACATTAACATTATCTTCCAATCTGAAAGTGCATCTCTTGCCTTTATGGTCCAAGAAATTAAAAAAGGTCATTTATTAGATATTTGCCATGCCTCCATTTCTTCTGTGAATTCAGCTGCCACCATCTTACCATTGTCTAATCTGCAGCTCTTCATGTTTTCTAAGGTCATTCCCATATACCATTACATCTAACTACATAACACAAGACTTAAAATGAGAATGTGAGGAGAAACTTATAAAGTTTAATTTTATGGATATGGGAAACTTATGGAGTGTGTAAAACAAGAATTGGTAGGAACAAGAATAAAAAGTTGACAAATAAATGTGGAATGAATGAACAATTATGGGATCATCACCAAAGAATTATGATGAAGTGTTTGGGTGATATAAAAAGAATGAATGAGGATCGAATTATAAATAAAGGAAGAACGAACAGGTCATAAATAAGAAAACTGAGATTTTTTTAAAAAAATGGTTGATGAGATCATTATCACAAGGATAAAGCTGTGGTTTAAAAAGGCAAATATGAAATAGCACAGATTTTCCAGGACAGGAAGGTATGGAATGAATAATATTGTGAGCAATATAGTCAGTGACCACAACTGAGCAACTTCTTTGCTCGGCGCTGTAATTGTTAAGTGGAAAATCACATGAGGGCAATAGAATTATGATGTCACCTTCCAAACAGTCCTTAATCAAGACACTACATGACCACACCTTGTGATCTTTAATTCTACATTCTCTATTAATTATACTTGTTAAAAGCCAGTTGAAAAGCATGCAAACAGTGATCATGTGATCATGGGCACTACAATGTTGTAAATGTGTGGTAATTATAATATGCCCAAATAACAATTACATGATTGCGTGATCTTGTGGCAATTGTAAATGTGAGGTTAAGTTGCAAAACTATTTTTTTTACACCACTGCAAATTCAAACTAAATTAAACAGTTAGTAGGTAAGGTCTATCTGCATTGATGTCTGTGAGATTTAATTACATTTCCTGTTCTTTATCTGACCTGATGTTTTAATTTCTTCGGCTTCTTTTTCCTTGTTCTTTTTCAGTACTTCCATAACACTGATTCCCCCAAAATATGCTAGCTATGTATTATACGTGCCAGTGTGTAACCTAATTCCAGCTTGTGATTTGAATGATACTACAACTGAAAAATTCACATTTCTTGATGAGGAGAAAATGTGTCATTTTTCATGCACAATATGAAAAAGAAGATGGCCTTCATTCATTGCCTATAAAGGCAATTTTTTTCCCCTGTGCAGATGTAGTAGACATAAAGAAGATGCAAGGAATATCAAAAACAAAATGTAACATTTATCTATTGTCGGCTGTTAAAGTATAGCTATTCACTGAATTATGTATTCCTTCCTTCCTTCATCATTAATTAATTAATTCATTCATTCTGCAACTTAATGTTCAATTTTGTGCAGATTTTGACTTTTTAATTTTAGTATAGCCCAGAAATAGAGAGACAAAGAATAAGGCTTTGTCTTACCATCAGTGTTGAGAGCTTGAATTATCTCATTGAATCTTGAACTAGGTAAATCTACTCCCATATTCTCTAGAGTATCTTCCAGCTGTTTGATAGTCATCTTCTCTTCATTGGGATTTTCAAAAATCTTTGTGGCATTCTGCAATGCTGAAGAACATGAATTGTTAGATGAAAGACAATGCTGCTGTAATTCTCAGATCGCCCAGTGCTTTGCAGAGAGAAGAGGTTGCAAAGCAGTGGATCTGCCAAGCCAGGACATGACTGTTGAGTAGCCAACAAGGGGAAGAGAGAAAGGAAAAATTGGCCCTGGGAACTGACTCTCCTTTTTTTAATCTATTTCCATTTCATTTTATATTTGGAGAACTTTTTTCCTCTGCCTTCCATGAATTTTCTTCATTCACACTTAAATTACTTACCTCTGATGTCAGAAATGCTGGTGGGACTAGACAAAATCTTGAGGAATTCCATCCCATGCACTTTCCCTGATTCTTCAATGGTTTGAGCAAAAAAGAAAAAAAATGAACAAACAGGAGATCAGCAGTTGGACAAAGACTGTTGAGCTGTGATGAATCACTCCCTGTCTCAAAGCAGAATTAACAACTGACCAAAACTAATAATGCATCCCTTCCCTTGCTACTTTAACTAGCCATAAGGGACATAAATCTAAAACTCAAGTGGCTGAACTAAAAACCGCAAGAGCTCTGTCCACTTCCTCCAGTTCAAAGGCTCAAACTCATGCTGTATATACAAGACTTAGCCCCCACAACTCAACAGATTTTGTCTTAAGACCAGAATCCAACGCTGAGTGAATGCAAGTCACTTTATCTGTTAAACATGCCAATATTCCTGATCGTAACCATATAGGTGAACTTCCCTCCCAGGAAGGACAAGTCACCTGGAATAGGGCTGTTGGGTGACTATCAGTAAATGCAATAAGGGCAGAGAAATAATTATGTTTCACTATCCTTATCATCATAAAGTAGGCTCTAACAGGTTAACTCATGTTAAGTTGTCTTTGTTCCTTATCTTTTGCCAGCTAAGCTCTAGGAGCCTCATAGTTCTTTTAAGTTTTCTCAACTCTATTGTATAGCACAGAGAATGTCTGGAACTATGTGCACAGAAGGACCACTCGGACATGGGCTACTGCAAAACTGAAGCTGCTCTACTATTCCAAGTGACCCCCAAGCTTTGGTCAGGCCATTATCAAGCTTTCTGGAACAGTCTCAAGCTCCCCGTGGAACCCAGTTGGGTCTATTACTCAGCTAGGTATGCCATTTTAATAGGCCCAATATCTCTGTGAAAGGAAGTGGTGCCAGAGAATTGGAGGCTCACATTGGAGTGATTTAACCATGACAAGAGGGAATCCACTGTCTTCCCCAAATTTGGAACACTGTGCTACTGTTCTGACAGAAAAAAAAAATATGCCAGGTATATTATCAGTTTTATGTGTAGGGCATGGATGACTTGGAATAGGTCCATAGCTGCCATGGTGGACCTAAACTCTTAAGCTATCTCTGACCTCAGACTCAGAGAAGGCAAATTAAAGTTCCCCAAGATCATAAACGCAGGGAACTCTACCACCATCCCAGCCAAAAAGCTTAGGTATAGAAGTTGCTGTATACTTCTTGGTATCCAACTTAATAAACAGTATCTTATATCCAAGAATTTGAAGAGCAGGGCCTCTGGATGTCTCCTAAATATCTCAGATTACCATTTTCCTATTCTGGATTCATATTTTTAGTCACATTAGAAGCTAAGCCTCCAAGACAAGGATGAGATAGAATACTGATATATTAGAGAATGAATAGACAGAGAATAGGAGGCGGGAGTAAATGAAGCCTTCAGGAATGTAGCTGTGATCAAGTGATGGAAACCCTCCCCTCTTTAAGGCACATAAAAAAAGAGAGGCTTCAATTTCATGGATGTGGCTGTCATCTTGTATGTTAGTGTTCTTGCAAAAATACACACCTTTGTCAGTTTTATCTTCAAAAATATTTAATGGAGAAAGGAAAACAATTTTCCTTTCTGCTCAAAGTTTCCCACCCCCGCCCCAATAATCCACCAATTTATTAAAGACTTACCATCACTGGAAGCAAATGCTAGAACCTCTTGCAGATCATCGGGTGTCAGGTGACTGCCTAAGTATTCTAGGGCATCCAGCAAATCTTCCTTTGTAATGTCCTCTTTTACAATCTTGTGGATAGTATGGAAAGTATTCTGTAAAGCTTTAGGAGGCAAATTTCAAATGAGCTCAGTCTTGACTTATTCTTAGCCTATTCTTTGACATTCCTGAATAAGATTTGAAGCAAAGTAATCTTGTAAAGCCATATTTAATGTTAATAGGATGGATCCTTTCAATAAAAATATGGAAACTTATTCCCAATTGGACAAATCAAAGATGGTAATTACTGGAGTTTATCAAATGAGGTGAAGTAATTTTGAAATATAGGGAAGCTTTGCCTGATGGGGCAGTTGATGATAATAGTATTTCAAAGAGATACTTCCCATGAATAATTTAGAATGTGAGAACCAATTCCAGCCTTTCAATATATGTCAAATCATAATGTATGTCCTGAAATGATGTTAATGATTACTTATATTGCCTACATCCTGATGCCTAACATAGCTGATATAAATTATAGCATTCATCCTATCTGTAGAATTTCAAGATGTATGACCTTCTACCCAAATTAACTGTTCTATATTAACATTCTCCAAATCCTGAAATCCGATTGGTCCACACAGACCACAACCTGATTGGCTAACTGAGTGGCCGTGATTGGCGCTCTAAGAATCTACCATGATTGGCTGAGCCGATCACGGGAGATTCAAAGCAATGTCATTGGCCGCCGAGCTGCAAGCCAGCTCTATATGAAGAGCCGCTGCGAGCTGCATCTTTGTTCAGAACTAAATTCCTTAATAAAGAGCTGATTGTTCACTCGGAGTCTCGTGTCTCTATGAACCTGATCTACCCAATCTAACACTGACGACGAGGATGGGATCATGAGACGAGAGACCAACAAGCACGTGGCAAATGGCGCAAAACGACTGGCAAGATGGCGAGCAGCACCTTGCCACCCGCACACTTCAACCCGGCCACTGAGGATTGGGAATCCTACACTGACCTGTTCCAGATGTTCCTGGAGTGCAGCAACCTTAAGGATGCCAACGGGCAGAGAAAACGAGCCGTGTTCTTGACACACTGCGGGCCCACAGTGTTCAAGATGGCCAAAGCGTTGGCAAAGCCCGCCGACATAAAAAAAATGGATTGGGCCAACCTCGAGCCCATCCTAAGATGCCATTATGCCCCTTCTGTGCCCACCCTCATCCAAAGGCATGATTTCTACCGGCGAGACCAGCATGAGGGCAAGGCCATCAGCGACTTTGTGGCCCAGCTGAGGGATCTCGGAGGCCTGTGCGGGTTTACCGACTTGGACAAAGCCCTGCGAGACCGAGTTGTCCTCGGACTCTGAGACCCTGTGCTACAAAGCAAGCTAATGGCCAAGGGCGACATCTCCCTCACTGACACCCTTGCAGAGGCAACTGCCGCTGAGGCCACCCGCAAATCGGCGGCCCAGATGAGGCAAGCGAACGCCGCAGATCGACCGACGGCCATTGAGACGGCCCCAGCACCGGAGAGGCACACGGAGACCAGCCATTGGGTGACCACCACCCACCATGGCGACATTGATTCCCACTCCGACGACGAGGAAGAAGAGATCCACTGGCTCCAGGTGGAATGCGATCAGTGGGACCAGAGGGGATCTAAGTTGGGGTTCCATTGTGCCAGCTGTAGCGGCAATCACCCCCGCTCCGAATGCCATTTTCTTGATGCCATCTGCCGGCATTGCGAGAAGTGGGGGCACATCGCCAAAGTATGCTGGAACAAGTGGAACTACAGCCCCCAGCGATGAGGCAGCAGCCCCCGGCGATGAGATGGCACCCCCCCAGGAACTGAGACTGCCAAGCCAAGAGCCGATGGAGCCGCGACAGCTGGAACAAATGACTCAGCGAGGCACAGCGAAGAGAGGAAACCCACCAGATGGTCGTCATCGGCCATTCCTCAACCATTGACGCCCGGAAGGTACACGTGGAGGTAGGCATCGAGGGCCAAACATGCGAAATGGAGGTGGACTCCGGATCCTACCTCTCCATGGTTTCCTGGCGCACAATCAAACGCCTGGTGCCTACCATCCGCCGCCGTGAACTGGACGACCAGAAGCTGACCCTGAAGGACTATCAGGGAAACCACATCCCTGTAGTCGGCATCAGACATTTTAAAATCACCTTCAAAGGCCACACTGTGGTACTGCCACTCACAATCGTGGACAAAGAACATCCCAGCCTGCTCGGGCTGCAATGGTTTCCCCTGCATGGGAATCGAGGTGACGGGCATTCACCACACCGACGAGGCGGACTGGGAAGCGGAGCTCGTGAGGGACTTCCAGGGGGTCTTCAATGACACCCTAGGCAAGTACCAGGGGTCCCCAATCTCCTTCAACCTCAACCCAAATGTTGCTCCAATCCGCCTTAAACCACGGCGAGTGCCTTTTGCGCTCAAGCTCAAAATCGATGAGCAGCTAGACAAGCTCATTGCGCAAGGGGTCTTAGAGCCAATTGATCATGCCCGCTGGGAAACACCCATAGTCATCCCCATCAAACCAGATGGCTCCATAAGAATCTGTGGTGACTATAAGGCTACCCTCAACCATGCCCTGCAGCAAAGTGCCTACCCCGTCCCAGTGGTACAGCACCTCCTGCACTCACTGGGGGGAGCCCGATCTTCGCGAAGCTCGACCTGGCTCAAGCCTACCAGCAACTGCCGGTCGACGGTGAAATCACCAAGGCACAAACGATTGTAATACACCGGGGGGCTTTCCGATGCAACCGACTCCAATTTGGAGTCAGCGTCATGCCAGGAGTCTTCCAGAGCCTCATGGAAAGACTCCTCCAGGGAATAAAAGGAGTGGTGCCCTACTTTGATGACATGCTGATGGCAGCCGCCAACAAAGAACAATTGGAAAACCGCCTAAGGGCGGTACTGCAGAAATTCAAAGACTCGGGCCTTAAAGTTAAAAAAGGGGAATGCCAACTCTGCACTGAGAGGGTCAAATTCTTGGGGTATCTCCTAGACCGACACAGAATCCACCCCACTGAAAAAGCCATCAGAGCCACTCAGAGCCATCAAGGAAGCCCCCACACCAAAGAATAAAGCAGAACTGCAGGCGTTTTGGGGACTTATTAACTTTTATAATGTTTTCCTACCCCAAAAGGTGACCGCGGTGGAACCTTTGCATAGGCTGTTGGATAAAACAGCTGCCTGGACCTGGGGAAAGCGGGAGGAAAATGCATTTCAACAGACCAAAAACCTACTAATGTCAGATGCAGTCCTCATCTAGTATAGCGAGACCCGCTGCTGATGGTAACATGCGACGCATCACTCTTTGGCGTCGGGGCGATCCTCAGCCACATGTTACCGGATGGGAAAGAAGTACCCATTGCCTTCTTCTCGAGAACGCTGTCCAAGCCGGAGAGGAATTACAGCCAGCTGGACAAGGAAGCCCTAGCAGTCATCTCCGGAGTGAAAAGGTTCCACGAGTATCTCTACGGTAGGACCTTTTCAATCATTACAGATCACAAACCTCTACTAGGGATACTGGCAGGGGACAAGGCCACCCCGAACATCCTGTCACCCAGGGTGACGAGGTGGTCCGAGTTCTTTGCTGCCTACAGCTACCGGCTGACACACCGGCCTGGCAAGGACATTTAGCATACAGACTCACTGAGCCAATCCCCCCTACCAGACCTGAAGGATGACCCAGCACCCACAACAACAACCCTGCAAGTAGAGACTCTAACCAACCCACTCCTGACCGCGCCAGACATTGCCCAAGAAACAAATAAAGACAAGTGGCTGGCGTGAGTCTTGAGCTGGGTGGAGAGAGGGTGGCCAGAAAGCGACGGCAACAAACCCTTCAAAGCTTTCAGAAACCGGAAAACCGAACTTTTCTCACAGAAGGGGTGTATACTTTGGGGAGACTGGGTGGTGATACCAGAGACTTTACAAAAAAGGGTACTAGACATGTTGCATGAGGGGCACCCGGGCATCGTCAAGATGAAAGCCCTGGCCAGAAGTTACGCTTGGTGGCCAGGGATGGACAAACAGATCGAGACATGGGTAGCCACATGCAAAAGGTGCCAGAAAACATGATCCACCCACCTGCCGCACCAGTCTCGGAATGGGAAACCCTTAGAGGCCCCTGGTCACGAATCCACATAGATTTTTCCAGGCCCACCAAGGGGCACACATTCCTGGTCACCGTAGATGCTTACTCCAACTGGCTGGAAGTAAGCACCATGAAAACCACAGCAACAGAAGCCGTCATAGAAAATCTGAATAAACTTTTCACCACACACGGGTTACCAGATGTGCTAGTGTCGGACAACAGACTGCAGTTCACGGCACTAGCATTCGAAAAATACCTGGCCAAACGAGGTATATGGCATGCCTTAACCTCGCCCACTCATCCGGCGGCGAATGGGCAATCAGAGAGAATAGTTCAGTTCACAAAAAAAACCATCCAAAAAATAGAAACCGGCGACATACAAGAAAAAATAAATAGAATGCTGCTCATACAATACATCACACCCAACACAACTACAAATAAAAGCCCAGCAGAACTACTCATGGGCAGAAAACTAAGGTCCCCATTAGACCAGTTGCACCCCATGTACAACCCAGAGAAACCCCCAGGCTCGTCCAGTAGACACCAGACATTTAACACCGGAGACATCATCTACGCGAAAAACTTCACGGGAGACCCACTCTGGGTACCAGCACAGATAACCCAGGTAACGGGCCCCCGGTTGTACCGACTACAAACCACTGACGGACGAAGCTGGAAGCGGCACATCGACCAGCTACGGTCAAGACTAGCCGCTGACAGCACCAACACCCCGCAAACAAACACTAATGAAGAAACCAGGAGGGGGGGAAAGACTCAAACGCTGAACAAAGGGAAGAGGAAAGGCCTAAAACGCAGGCAGAACACCCCCCAACCAGAACAAGCCAAAACCAAACAATAAACCAGCCATATTCACCAGTAGACCTCGAGCCGTTGCAGATGGGAGCTTCACCTGGAAGGAGCAGCTGAGCCAGCTCAACCAGCCCGGAGAGACCAGGTGGGAATAGCGGAGCTGACAACTTGACCGACCTGGGTAGACCGGGTGGGAGCAGCAGTAATGGGCCCGGCTCACCATTCCAGGTGGTTCCATCAAGAGCTTGAGAGCAACGCAGAACCTGTCCGAACTGGTCAACGACAAGACACCTACTGAAACGCGCAAGTCAACTAGGCAAGTATGAAACCCCACCTACCTGCGCGACTACGTCACCACGCTACGTCGGACGAAACCAAGAGGGGAGGGGTGTTCTATGTTAACATTCTCCAAATCCTGAAATCCGATTGGTCCACATGGACCACAACCTGATTGGCTAACTGAGCGGCCGTGATTGGCACGCTAAGAATCTACCGCGATTGGCTGAGCCGATTGCGGGAGATTCAAAGCGATGTCATTGGCCACCGAGCCGTGAGCTGGCTCTATATGAAGAGCCGCCGCGAGCCGCATCTTTGTTCAGAACTAAATTCCTTAATAAAGAGTTGATTGTTCACTCGGAGTCTTGCGTCTCTATGAACCCGATCTACCCAATCTAACGCTAACCATATTAGAGTTGACCTTGGAGATAGAGAAGGAATGATTGAGCAGATAAGGGGAGAAGTATTGAATAGCTATTAAGGAAGCAGTTGTAGAAAAAGCTCACGTGGTGCTGATAATTTTTTAAAAAATACAGTCTCACTGCCCTCATGATATAAAATGGGACAGACTGACTTCTTCTGTTCAATTTGTGTCCAATTCTTGGAGCAGCCTGGACAGATCCCTGCAATTTTCTTGGCAAAGTTTTTCAGATGTTACTTGCATTGCCTCTTTCTCAAGGTTGGGGAAAAAAATGACTGGCCCAAGGTCACCAAGCTGACTTTGTCACTAATCTAGAAGACTAGAGCCTAGAGCCTCCTTATTGCTAGTATTTTCTTACTTTATTACAATAAAGAACATTTCTGAAAACCATGATATGCTTTTTTTTAACCTCGCTGACCTCAAAATGTTGACATTGGACCTTAATGGCAATTCTGTTCAGTAGCTAAGCTTAGTACAGACTGTGATGGAGCACATTCTAAAGCCAATATGAAGGCTGGTTTTTCTCTTTTGTTAATATCACTGTATTCATTAATTTTACATTCTGATCTTTCATTTTATCCCTGCAATAACCCTAAAAGGTAGCATGGACAGGGATAGTCATTCAGTGAGTTTGCATAGTGAAGGGTGGACATGTACCCAGGTCCCCATACTTCTACCACAATAACATATTCATAATATCACTGTACTGATAAATCAGACAAATAATGTTTGGTCAAATAGACTATAGGGCTATACATGCTTTGGATATAACTTGTAAAAGGGGCTTTGGATTTTATATGATCATAGGCTGGGAGGTACCAAACTTGTATGAGGTCCAAAGCAATTTGAAGCACATTGAACTTTGCTCTGAATCCATTCCATTTGAACTCAAATGTTTTTACAATAATATAAAAATGTAACAATTTGACGGGTACAAAAATATTTTCAGTTTCCATTTTAAAGCAAACATATCTAATGTACTTTTGGCCAAATAAATGGAAATTTGGTATTATTTTGAAATGCTTTCTGAATTTTGCAATTCAGTTGCCCAATCAACTGATTAAACAAGCTTAGTATATTAAGAGAAAGATGTGCAAAATAAAGATATAGAGGAGGAAATAATTTTAAAATATATGGTACATTGAGGGAAATTGACTTCAAAAATTATATGTGAATCTTAGGAAATATCCTCCCAATGTATATTAATTTTCAGGTATGATTAAAACAGACTGAAATTTAAATTGAAAACATGAAAAGTGCAAAGTTTACCAATTTATTAGTATCTATGCAAATGTTACCGTATTTTCTGGTCTTACCATGAATTTCTACAAAGGACTCTGTTCCGATTATTTCTTTCATAATATCATTAAAATTCAGTGCCCCATCGTCTATAAGGAACAGAATAGCAAGTTGGTTGAATGGGAGAAATAATAATATATGCATGACAAACCTAGGTTCTGAAAATATTTCTAGAATACTGTTTTGCTCTCCAAGATGAGGAAAGTCACCAAGTTCTTTGATATTACAAGAATTAGAGATTGGCAATCTGATAAAAAAAATTGGCTTTATACAATGCTTAAGATTATAATCTTAAACAAATTTACCAAGAATCACCAATGACTATGGTTTATTTAGTCTAAATAAACATGCCAACATTTATATTTTTAATACAATTAATGTATGTATACAAGATAAATAATTATAGATCAGGTAATAAGAAAACTTGGCAAAATCATCCTTAAGAATTGTGACTAAAATGAGAACTCAAAACCTCTTTGAGGCTACTAAAATGCCAGCTTTCCCCAGTTTGATTTTTTTCTAGTTGGGTGGCAGTTCCCAGAATTTGCAGCCTGGTATAAGTGTCTATTGTCACACTGGTAAAGAGACTAGTAGCCATTGTGTCAGAGGTGGTATTCAGCAGGTTCTGACCAGTTCTGGAGAACCGGTAGCAGAAATTTTGAGTAGTTCAAAATTTCAAAATTGAGTAGTTTGAGTAGTTCAGGAGAACCGGCAAGTACCACCTCTGACTGGAGATTTTATAGTGTCCTTCCCCTGCCGTGCCCACCAAGCCAAGCCCACAGAACCAGTAGTGAAAATTTTTGAATCCCATCACTGCACTGTGTTAACGAAATCAAAGTGCAGATTAGTCCTTATCCTAAAAAAAAGAAGGCTTTTCCCTGTCTCCCTTTGAAGGCATGGGAAAGATAAATTAAGGAAGTGTTTTGTGTTTTCTTTGTGTAGTTCCAATTGTTAGAATTCTAGTGTTGCCTCCTTAATCTTTTGTTTTAATAAATCTTGCTAATTAGAACCTAGGGAGGTAAAGAAATCTTTTCCTAAACATGATGAAAACCAAATGATGAAATGTGTGTCATTGTGACACAACATGAGCTTTGTACTTGCATTGCAACATCGCATACAAATAGGTAAGAAGCAGAGTTTGTGTCATAATGTTGTAACACATGTTGTCAATTTACTCAATCCCACATATCCTATCTTGATTGCTGTTACAGGGTTTTGACACTTACATACAAGCCTATTTTGAATTGTATTTCTAACATATCTGGGGGATCTTAAATTAGTGAAGCTGATATATGAGGGTTGACATTTGGCTTCCTTTTGTATAACATATGTGATGCCTGTTTCCTCATAGTTATCTATCATAACTCTCTCAGGAAAGGGGTGGGGGAAACCCAGTGTTAAATATTTTTACATCTCTTTGCTGCCATCTACTGGCCATCTTCATTTTTGCAGTCCATATCACTAACATCATAAGACTAGAAAGAATTTTATTATGTTTTTTTCTTTCAGTAATGTCAATTATAAAGGAATGTGTTTTTTTATTTAAGTAATGATAAAAGATATACATGCTGGAATATTGAAATTGAAATAAGTACTAATCTCACCAGTGATGGTTACTGAGTTGCATAGTGATTGCATTTCATCCGGTGTCAGGTTGATACCCATGGTGGTCAAGGTTTTTGCTAGATCATTGATATTAATCTCCTGGTCTATGGTATTATGCATTGCATCAAGGGTATCCATCAGCACTACCAAAGAAATATTTGTAGCAATATGATATTCAGTTGCACATTTATTTCACCAACTGAAATAGCAATATTATTCCTCTTAAAACAGCATTTCAAGTACTATATTGAACAAACTGAAATGAGGGTGGGGTTAAATTATCCTTGTTCCATCTTTATTTATCCTCAGCTTCAGCTATAGTTGCTTGCATTTACAATAAACAAAATTTAAAAAATCAAAAGAATCCAGTAGCCTTTTTGCAACTCCTTAAACAGCCATGTCTTTTCTCAGGATTGCGCCAGGAAAAGAACCAGCCACTTTAAAGAGTTTAAAAAGGATGTTATATATCTACTCCTACACACAAGGAAGTAGAATAGAATAGAATAACAGAGTTGGAAGGGACTTGCAGATCTTCTGGTGATCTAGTCCAACCCCCTGCTTAGGCAGGAAACACTACACCACTTCAGACAAGCAGTTATCAAATCTCTTGTTAAAAACTTTCAGTTTGGAGCATTTACAACTACAGCAGAGCATCATTCTTGAGATTTGAGGCTTGAGACTGCAAGTAAGTTTCCCAACTCAATATTGAATATGTATGCTCTAAGATATGAATGATGGCTATAGGCCAGGTTTCTGTCTAAGAGTTGAACCCATAACACAAGGCAGGAGATTGGAGAAGTAGATTCTAGGAAGACTGTAAAGAAACAGCTATAGAATAGAAAAATAAAATATTAATTGGCCTTACCGGTTGCTTCTGGAATCTCTGGTATTACAGTTAAAACTCTTATGAGTTCTTCTAAATTAACTTTGCCATAACCTATAAGGCAAAAGATGGGTTATGCTGAAATACAGAAAATAATCACTAGACAGTAATTTCAGGGATGCCATTTCATATTAAGAATGCTTACTGTCAACTCTGGCTATGTTCATCACTTCCTTCAATAATTCATTGGCCCTAAAAAGTTCCATAGTGTCCAGGCTGGATTGAAGAGTCTGGAGATCGAAGTGGTCATCTTCGAATTTGCTCAAGGCCAAGCAGATGAGCTGCAGTTCTATAAAAACATCACTTCAAGATCAACATGTACAGCATCATCATTATCTGCATGACTAAGATATTTAAACCATCTGCCATGGTTTTGTTGGCTAGGGATGATGAGAGATGTAACTTCAACATGTCTGGAGCTAACTAAATTGGGAAAGGTTGGCTTATACTAGGAAATATATCATGAAAGAAACCAAAAGGGAAAGCATTATTTAAATGATTTCCCATTTTCCAGTTCACTAAGCTGTTTCCATGTCCTACTTTTGGTTGCCCAAATTCATGAAACCCAAATCTGTTAATGGTTATTATTAGTAGCATAAAAATAATTTATGCTATAATTAGTACTGTAATACTAATAATATTATCTGCCTCTATATATGTATTGAAGTCAGTACATATATAGGGGCAGGTATATGTGAGAATATTCAAATGTAAAACTATAGATCTAATCAACAGTTAATGGGAATAATGTAATTTTAAACCAAAATTATGTTCTTTTTTGCTTGCTCCTCTAATGTTCTCTTTTTTTCCTACTGTTACAAAGCTTCTTTTCCCACTCAATAATTCCTCATTACCTGTTTATCAAGCTGTCTCTTATTCTTAGTAATTAATTGCAAAAAGCTGGATAGTTTGTACATCTAATACTTAAAGATAGTTTCAAATAGGGTTTCACTCACCTGGCCTAGTAACAAAAGTATCAGTATAGATCACATTCCTGATGAACTCTTTTAGATTTAATGTATTGTTATCTGAAAATGGAAAGGGAATGAAAAGAAAGCAGAGAAAAATAAGAATAGAATAATAATCTTTGTATGAATGTAATATTACAGGACATCGTATATCATATATAGAATGTAATATATGGAATATAGGAGGGGTCTCCAACCTTGGCAACTTTTAGCCCGGTGGATTTCAACTCCCAGAATTTCACAGCCCCCACTTCTCATCCAAGAAGTATACACTACTACTATAATATAGTAGTAGTACTATATACTTCTTACATGAGAAGCGAAACTCTTCAAGGAAAAATAAAGTTCAGTTGCCTTTTGAAAAATGTTCAGTTGAACATTTGGGACAACCAAGACCTGAATGACTGAGAATCTCCATTGACATATATCCTTAAAAGCCACAGTAAAAGTTATACTCACCATCAACATTGCAAAAGGCCAATGCCTCTGACATATCCTCTGTTGGCAAGTTGATATTGAAGCTCTGCATAAGCATCTGCAACCCTGTGAATTCAATCCTTTCGTTTTTCATTTTGGCCAGAATATCAAAACCAACTTCCAAAGCTAGAGAGGATGGAGACATAAAAAGGAAAGTGATTGGACTGAGAATCAAACATAATGATGCTGAATAATTCAGATTAGCTTATGGGACCCATTCATAACACATCTAAGAGAGTTGGGGTAGTGGTATACCATCTGAATTGAATAGGAGTAACTGCTTGCATAGGGACAGAGGGATTTATAGTAAATCAGCAGTGTTGTTCAAACTGATTAGGACTTCTTGTATTCAGAGTTTTTGAATGGCACGGGAACAACAGAAAAACAAATCCTAGGTAACCATTCTCTGTGTTCTACTTTCTGCCTCACTCCCCATCAGTCACACTTTTGAGGGAAGAAAAATAATAGTTGTTACTCCATATAAATACCAACCAATTAGGGCAAACAGGAAGTGATGGCTTCCTAGACTCCTTTGCAGTGCCTATAAGAATGTGAAAGAAAGATCACTATTCCAAGACACTGGAAGTCTTGTCCTGCTAGCCCAGGAGGTTGGGCTGATGCCAAGGCTGATTTGGAGCAGATCTTCATTTTGTCCTGCACTCAGTTTCAGAAGATGCCAGTGGCCACTTCCAGAGAGCAAGGATGGATAACGTTGCATTCCTTCCATGTCCAGAGCATTGCAAATGAGCTATGTCTTTGTTTCCCAGATTTTATTAATAATAGCTGTTTTGCAACCTGAGGATTCTTAAACCCTTCAGAACATAAGACGTGCAATGCTTCATTTTTTTCCTAGATCCAACTTTCTATTCCATGAAAGTAACATTCACTTTTCTACCTAGAGGAGAGTTTTTGTGGATGCATATCCATGTGCATGTATATGTGTGTGTGTGTGTGTGTGTGTGTGTACCCATGCACAAATAAAATATACTTGTGTACAAAAGAACATTTAATTGATATATACAAAGTTAGAGCAGCAACACACACACATACACATATATGTAGAAGCAAGAACCAGTTTTAAAATAAAACGAAAATTCTATCCTTGCTAGCTATTTTGCATTATAATTATTTCTACACTTTCCTTTTACCATTAGTAGTAAAATATCATGCTACAGTTGTGCCTAATATGTGAAAAGAAATCCTTTCGTCTCCAGATATTGGAAAGACTGAATGAAATGATGGGAGTTTGTACTTTGTACTGTGTACTTTGTATTATGTATCTTGTACCAAGTAATTCTGTATGTTGCACTACATTTTGTATTGTACTGGTTTTTGAAAATCCTTAAGCTAGGAAGACCTAGCTAACTAACCAAAGGAAGGAAAACAATAATTAAAACAGACATGTACATTTCTGCTAGCTTTTGCAAGAGAGAGCTCTTGCACAAGAAGCAAGATACTTAGTCACTGTACTGTTTTAATATTAATGATAAACAGTTCTAAATAAATAGATTTAAAACAAGAGAAATGTAAATGTTATAAAATAAATGATTAGTTCTATGCTGTCTTTCAGAGCACTATTGCCTATGCAGAACCTCCAGATCATACCTGCAGAAGTTTTAAGTTGTGGATTCCTCATCAATATCCTCAAGAAGTTATTAAATTTTGCCTGCCCAGTTTCTACAAGTTGTATTGGGAAAGAGAGATAAACAATTATTACTAATTGTGAAATTCTTCCCTCCAATATTTTGTAATTTGCTACCAAAAATAAGAACATAAATTGAAATTAAATTGATCAAAATCAAAACAAACCCTACTTGGAATAACTTTCAAAAACCTAGAAGAGAGCTTTTCATTTAATATCCCCTTTCCATGAATAGCTCTTCCTTTATTCTACTTATTTCTCATAAATCTTTTCTCTTGTAATATCATGCCAAAATATATCTTCCAATCATCTAAAAAATGTGGTTTCTCTGCCTAATACCATTCTGGCATTCTCATAATTTGCTAATTCTCTTTCCCATTAGCCCAATTAAGCATATTGTTAGAAGAAGGCTGGCATATTTATAACCTAGTCTCAAACCATTAGGAATGAATTGACATTTTCAGACAATGTACTTTGACCAGAAAAAAAAAATTCTAAAGTTTTGGAACAAAATTGTTGCTAACACTCTCTACAAGACTTTGAACTACTAATGGTCAAAGCAAATTGGTGGTAGATAAGAGTCAATGAAATTCATTTTTCTGGGGGTGGGGGGGAGCTGGCGTCACAATGATATGGCATGCGATCTTGGAGGTCTGAGATCGCTGCCAATATCTTTGCTCCTGGATGGTCCAAGTGGATCTAAACTGTCCCGAAGAGACGGTGAAAGTGAAGAGCGCATCCTGTCGATCCCAGGGATATCACAAAGTCCCTGGTAGATCCAGGAGAAGCTCTTTTTGCCAGCAGCAAAGAGGCAGCCATTAAAGCTGCTAAAGTTGGGACAGCTCCGAAATGAAAGAGAACGAAAGAGAAAGTGTGCCGGTTTGGTGAGAACTTTTCTTTATTTAAAGATTTGAGAGGACACCCTAAGGGAAAGAAAGAATCTGTAAAAGTCTTTTGACAGAAGTGAAAAGCGGCGATTTTAAACAGGAATGTCAAAGTAATTTTTTTATTTTTTTATTTTATTGCTGATGATCCTATATTTCGAAACTGGACTGTTTTTTTTCCTTTTTTAAAAAAAATCTACTCTTTACTTTCCCCTTTTTGATTTTATAATATATTAAGCCAGAGACTCCCTTTTAGTCTTTTTTTTTTAAAAAAATATTTTCTTCCTTTTTTAACTAATTCTTATTATACTCTGGCGGAAAAGGAGGGGGAAAGTGAAATCTAAAGAAACTTTGTAACACTGCCAACTAGAGGCTTGGAAATACTCTACTTTTCCTTTGACCAGACAAAGCTGAGAAAAAAATTGAGACTTTTTTTTCCTTATCAAAATGGATTTCTGCCAAAGAGACAAATTAAAGACAATATGAGAGTAATCTTGGACATCTTGGAATACTATGAGGCACATCCTGAAAAACAAATGGCTCTGATATTTCTAGATGCACAGAAGGCATTTGATAATGTGAATTGGCGATTCATGTTATTACTTCTGGAACAAGATGGGCTTCGCTAGAAAATTTATTCAAGCAATAGAAGCTATATACTATAAGCAAACAGCAAAGGTAATGATAGAGGGAGAACTGACAGACTCTATCAATATAAGAAAAGAACAAGACAAGGGTGCCCACTATCACCTTTGTTGTTTGTGTTAACTTTGGAAGTGCTAAACAGAAATATTAGAGAGGAAAAGAATATTAAAGAATGAAAATCAAAAAGGAAGAATTTAAGCTGCAAGCATTTGTGGATGATCTGGTTTTCATCTTAGAAGACCCTTTAAAAACAGTATCAAAATTGATAGAAAAGATAGAGTCATATGGAAAGGTGGCTGGTTTGAAAATAAATAAAGATAAGACAAAGATCTTGACAAAGAATATGCTATTAAGACAAAAGGAGAACTGGCAGACCTATTGAAAATTCAGGTCACGAATAAGATCAAGTACTTGGGGATGTATTTGACAGCAAGATGTAGTACACTAAAAGAGAATAATTATATCAAACTTAAACAGCAGATAGCGCTAGATCTGGCAAAATGGGAACATTTACAACTGTCATTAATAGAGAGAATTTCAACAACCAAGATAAATATATTACCCAAAATTTTATATTTGTTTCAAACAATTCCAATTAGGCTTGAAAAAGATTACTTTGAAGATTTAAATAAAATTGTGTTGAAATATATATGGCAAGGTAAGAAAGCGAGAATAAAGTTAAAACTTTTGCAAGATGCTAGAATTAGAGGAGGATTTGGTTTGGGAGTTGTATTATCAAGCTACAAATCTGATGTGGGTTAAGGAATGGATAACACTAAGAAATATTAGATTGTTGACAGTAGAAGGACTTGATTTGTTGTTGGGGTGGCATGCTTTTTTATGGTATAAAGGAACTAAAACACAGGGGTATTTTAGAAGACATTATATATGGGAGTCTCTGTGGTTAAACTGGGAGAAGATTAAAAGACAATGTTATTTGAAAATTCCAGTCTGGCTATCGACTTTTGAAGCATTTTCGTATCCTATAATATACAAAAAGGAACAAACAGTTAGATATGGTGAAATATTGAATGAAAAGGGTGAAGTTAAATCTATGCAAAAACTAGAGGGACGAGGTATAAAGATGAATTGGTTTTCATATGTGCAAATACATTCAAGGTATGATAAAGATTCTAAAATGGATGGTTTCTATGATAAATTGACTGATTTAGATAAGATTTTGACAGGTACTGATGAAAGGTGATTAAATAATTCTATGGATATTTATTAGAAATTAAAATAGAAGAACAAGTTAAAGAAACTATGATTGCTTGGGGGAAGAATTTTGGATATGGGATTGATTTAGAGAAATGGCAAAAATTGTGGTCTCAAAATTATAAAATGACAATGTCAACAGCAAATAAAGAAAATTTGTATAAGATGTTTTACAGGTGGCATTTTCCCCCAACAAGAATAGCAAGAATGTTCAAGAATAAATCCGAAAAATGTTGGAAATGTCATCAGACACCTGGCTCATATTACCATATGTGGTGGACTTGTGCGGATGCTAAAAAATACTGGACTAAAATCCACGTGTGGTTGGAAAAAATGACAAAAAAACATATAGACTTGAAACCAGAGATATTTTACCTGACATATATAGTAAAGACTTGAAATATCTGATTGTAAATGTATTAACAGTGGCTAGGATTGTATTTGCCAAAAACTGGAAAAATGAGAAAACACCATCACAGGAGGAAATCATTAAGAAAATATTGGAATGTGCTGAAATGAGTAGATTGACATTTGAAATTAGAGAACAAGAGGATAAACAATTTTATAAAATTTGCGAGCTATTCTATCAATGGTTAGACAATAAAATACAGTAATGAAATATGTAGACTTTTAGAAAATAATAAATATATAAAGATGTACTTCTTTCTTATTATATCTACAAAATGATTTTAGGATAGATTTGGGATGATAATATGAACTGTTATAAAACAAACTAAGTAAATTATGATTATCTTATAAAACATGAATGAATAAAAGTATAGTCAAATTATTGATTAAGAATGATACTAAGGTAATTAATTTTTGATTGAAAATATGAGATTATATGCAATGTAATTGTAATTGAAGACTACGAAAACAATTTGTAAACCAACCAGCACACTGTGTGTATACATATGGAAGATGGCTTGATGTTTTTATGTTTTGTTTGTTTATGTTTGTTTTTAAAAACCAATAAAAACTTAAATAAAAAAAAAGACATTTGTTTTTCTGGATGGCTTTATAGTATTCCAAAACATTTAACACTATTCTTAGATTGTTCCTAATTTGTCTGTTGGGGAGAAATCCATTTTGGTCTTTATGCATATATTCATTCAAGATTCTTTTTAGTCTATTTGCTATAATAGTAGCAAATATTTTATAATCAGTATTTAACAAAGAAATTGGTCTATAGTTTTGTATGAGTCGAGGATCTGAATCTTCCTTCAGTATCAGCGAAATCAATGTCTCCCTCCGTGAATCTGGCATATTAGCTGCAAGTAAAACCTCATTATATATTTCCACCATGAGGGGTCCTATTTGTTCTCCTATTGCCTTGTAGAGTTCCCCTGGGATCCCATCAGTTCCTGGAGTTTTTTGTTTTTATTTTCTATTGCTGTTTTCAGTTCAGACCACATAATTTCTTTAATTAGCATTTCTTTCATCTCATCACCAATTACTTTGTCTTTTGTTACACCCAAATAATTTCTTATTGTAGTCCTTGTATTCTTGGATGCGTAGAAGGCCTTCAACAATTTAAATTGGCAATTCCTAATCCAATACATTTACAATATGAATCTAGGCACTAAATTTGAAAACATCGTAACCACAATTTATGCCTCACAAAAAGTGAGTATCATAATTAATGGAGAATATACACACTCAATAAAAATAGAGAAAGGAGTTAGGCAGGGATGTCCATTATCTCCCCTGCTCTTCATACTATTTTTGGAAACACTGCTTACACGAATTAGGCAGAACCCAGGAATAAAGGGGTTAAAGATTAAGAAAGAAGAATATAAATTGCAGTCATTCACAGATGATATGGTCTTTTTCATAGAGAACCCAACTGAAGTAGGTCAAGAATTGTTGAAAGAGTTAGATCAATTTGGGAAAGTCGCAAGACTCAAAATTAACAGGGAAAAAATGAAATTAATTACAAAAACAGAAAAACAGAAATCAGAATTGGAAAAGGCAATGGGATTACAGGTGGTAAAAAAAATTAAATATTTAGGAATATGACTGATGGCTCATTGTAAGACACTAATGGAAAATAACTATAACAAACTACTACAATAGGTTAAAAAAGACCTAGAGCTATGGATTAAATTGCAACTCTCCCTACTAGGGAGAATTGCCACTACTAAAATGACCATTCTTCCTAAATTTATTTATTTGTTCCAGACAATACAAATAAAAATACATAAAAACTACTTTATGGAACTCAATAGGATAATCACAAAATTTATTTGGCAAGGGAAAAAAACGAGAATAAATTTAAAAGCAATGCAAGATATGAAGAGCAGGTGGGGTATGGCACTCCCAAATTGGAAACTATACCACAGCACAGCCTCCTTATTATGGCTGAAAGAATGGGTAAATTTATCAAATAAAAGAATATTATTTCTAGAAGGCCATGATTTACAGAGGGGGTGGCATGCATTTTTATGGGACACGGGGAAAACCAAACAGAATTACTTCCACAGACATGTAATTAGAAGACTCTTTATTGGCTAATTGGAATAAAATAAATTAAAAACACTATCTAAAGATCCCAATTTGGATCTCAATGATGGAGGCGATGATACATCCAAACAATGTGGATCTTAACAAGATGATTAAATATAAAGACCTACTGGATGTACCAGGAACTTTAAAATCATGGCAACATCTCCAAGAACAAGGACTACGAATTGACCAGTGCACTTACTTCCAAATACAAAATAGATATAGACAGGATAAGGAAGCTTCTGGAATTTACAGTAAGCCACAACAATCAGATAAAATCTTACTAGGTTCAGACAAAAAAAACCAAACAAACCAAATTTTACAACTACTTATTAGAGATAGAACTAGAGGAGGAAGTAGTCAAAGGCAATATGATAACTTGGAGTAGAAATATAGGATGTAACATCACCTTAATAGAATGAGAAAAGGTCTGAATCAGGAATAATAAAATCACAAAATCAGCAACATATAAAGAAAATGCCTATAAAATGTTTTACAGATGACATCTCTCTCCTTCGAGATTAACGGAGATGTCTCCTAACATGAATCCGAATTGCTGGAAATGTAAAAAGAAACACGGAACATTCTACCATATGTGGTGGTCATGCATAGATGCCCAAAAATACTGGCAGAGAATCAAAAAATGGTTGGAGGAAATAATGGCTGAGCAGATTGAATTAAAACCAGAATTCTTCCTATTAGAGATATTCAATAGATAACTCCCCAAAAAAGCCAAATATATAATATTATACATACTGCAGCTAGATTAGCTTTTGCACAATATTGGAAACAAGCTGATATTCTAACAGAGGAAATTACTATTCAGAAAACAGTAAGCTGTACAGAAAAGGATAAATTGACTCTAGCACTTAAGGATAAAGAATCATCAGAATATTATAAGAGCTGGGAATGTTGGTATGATTTGATAGAACAAAGATAGATAATATAAATAGTAAACATTATTAAACCGTAAAGGAGGGAGTAACTATATACTTGCATTAAGATTTAATTGTAAATATGACACCAATAATAACATGCCTTTAATTCATATTTTTTGTTTTCTCTATTTTTCTATGTTGTGTATGTGTTTGTTCATTTATTTTAATTGTATATTCAATAAAATTTTTTTTTTTTTTTAAAGGGTCAATGAAATTCAATGTAGGCTGGACTTAGCTCTCTTGAGGGCACAAAAGGACTTAAGACGCACTTGTTCCCTTCCTTAGGCTCAGCCTGGTCATCTCTTACACAACTCCTATCTTTTTTCTACAGAACTATTACAATGTTAGGACAGCTACATCTCTCCTCATAGCTTCGCCACTTACCTGTTATGTTTGCTGACCTTAGTGCTTGGCCAATCACCTGGTTAGCCATGGGCAGGTCTATAGTTCTGAGAGTTTCTGTTTCAAGCTTCAGTCGTGCTGCTTGGTGTTCCTTAATCAACCTGAGAGCTAGGACGCAGTCAAGCACAGCTAGAGAGGCAAGGATCAGCAATGTTATTTATATCTATGCAGAAGGGCAAAAGTTCTCATTTTGAATGAGTATTGCAGCCCATAGGTTTTGATAAACCTAAAGGGAAATATGGATAATTCTGTTGGTTGAATGGAAGGGATTCTTCCCAAAGACTGAAATAACTTCAGGGAACTGTTCCAGGATTGCTTTCTAGCAGTGGGCTGGGCCATAGCACAAAATATATGGGTGGCAGTAGTGGGGTGAGAATCTATCCTTCTTCACACTATGTCCATGACATCCATAGACATCATTCATCAAAGTTAAAGCCATCCTTTAAATAGATGTATAGATTATATTCATTAAAGCCAAGCTATCTTTTGCTAACCGATGCATAGGAAACAAAATAGACCCGAGTGGTTCTAATATTAGACGAAACACATTGTTTTCTTTTCTAGAAACGGCATACTGTATTGCTCTAATTAAGGCATACAATTCTCTTTCTCTGTGTGTCCTCCGACTTCACCCGACCACCAAGCCTAGCAACTGGTGCTATTAAGTCCTTTCCTAATGATGCCTGGATGCTGCAAGAGTCCAGATGGGGGAAGAAGAAGTATTGGTTCAATCCTGGCAAGACTATGTGTTTTAAAGACCCTGGTTCTGGAGATTTTTCATCTAATTCTGTAGGGGTGCGCTCCCCCAATCAGATTTGGTGCACAGTTTGGATGTCCTCCTGCATGAAGGATAGCCATGGCCAGGGGAACATTTGTAGATGTTTTGGGTGCCAATTGTGCACACTAGGGAGGTCCTATTCAGGGTGACTCAGACCTTAAGTACTTCTCTTGTGGATTACTATAACGCACTCCACAAGGAGATGCCCCTGAAGAGCATTCAAAGACTGTGGTTGGTCCTGAATGCAGCTATTTTGGCATTTCTCATTATCAAAAATCACTGCTCTGCAAGCTGTGTTGGCTCCCAGCGGGCTTCCAGATGGTTATAGTCTATAAAACCTTCATGATATGCCAGGCTACTTGCAGCACTTTTCTCCCATTGTTTCTGCTGGCTTCACTAGAGCTACAGAAAGCATGCTTTAGGTTCCTTCTATCAATGTTTCTTGTGGGACCCTAGAGTCAGGTCTTCTTGGTGGCTGTGCCAATCCTATGGAACACCACCTCCCTGGAGATTTGGATTGTCCCAAGCCTTTTAGTCTTTTGTAAGGCATTGAAGAACTGGCTGTTTTCATAAGCATTTGAGTCAAGTTAGTTGAGTGTTGTGATTGTTGTTGTGTTTTTTTCTCCCTGTGAGTGGGATTATTGCATAATATCATTGCTTGTCTGGGATTATATGGTGTAAGAGTTTTGTTTTTAAATCCTTGTATGCCAGCTAAAGTCACTTTTGTGAGATCGGTGACTATATAAATCAATCAATAAAAGAGTGACTGACTGACTACTGATGTGGTAAAGTTGCATATAAACTTCCCAGAAAAGAGCTGACACCGAGCTACCCACATAACACATTCCTAAAACTTTACCAGTATAATTTTTAAATCGTCTAGTTTCATTCATAGCTGACATCAGTTCTTTAACATCCACGGTCTCACCAGCTATAAAGGAAAAAAAGGAAACCATTAAATGTTATCAGATCAACCAAATGAGCTATTAATATTGTTGCAACATAATGAACCATAGATAATAACATCACATAAAATGGCAGATTGTCTACCATACGTGTGAAAGTCAGGAAATCAGCTCAGAAATACAGGAAAGACAGAAGTTTAAAAATTTATTTTCACCAGAAATAGTTTAATAAAGGGATAGATATTTAATAGTTTAATAAAGGGATAGATAACCCATATTCCTTGGCCAGGAATTTCTAAGAAAGTGTAAATGATCAAATGAAACAAAGATGAAACTAGGTAGTTATAATCCGCCCTTCTCCCGCAAAAAAAACCCCACAGGGTGAGCCCTACAGTGCTTATGTGATGGCACTGGAAGTCTATTTCCAAATGGAAAATCTCAAACTTATTTGCTTATTTCCATTTCTATGCCATCAATTCCTCAGTATGCAAGTTTCAACAGCATCAAATGGTCATGTGAAGGGCAGAACAAACAAAATCAAAATTCCATAGAGAGAAAAGTTTCTCTTCAAAGTTTCTCTTCTCTCAAGTTTGTTGGTTGCTCATTACTTCTCAGAGGCTCTTGGGAGCAAGAGTAACACAATTTTGAACCACCAGACTTTCTCAAGATTATATCCTACAGATATCTTGGGTTTTGTTGCTATTTTTCCTTTGCTAGCTAGCACTGTAGCAATGTTGAATTTCTTTTAGCCTGTTGTAAATTTCTCGGGGTCAGGGCAAAGGCCAAAAGGCTTTTTAGGTTGGTGGACATGCTTGGAACCTGGAGAGGATGATGCAGATACTCTCCCCCAATTGATGGAGAGTGGTTTGTAATTCAGAAAAAGACCATTGTGGATATTCAGAAAAAGACAATGAGGAGAGGGAAAATGAGGAGATTTCTGCCTATCACCAGCATCTTTAGCACACTGTATACCCTTTGAACCCTGGTTAATTTACACTGGCTTTTCCCTCTAAGGAGATGTACCAGGTAATCTGGGTCTTTTTCTAGGCAAACTGAATCCAGTATTTTTATTTTTGAAGAATTCCCATAAATAAAAAGTGAGGGGTTTTTTTGTTTTATTTTTATTTCATAAAAAATAATTCTAGTGGTGAGTGCTTTTGCATTATTGTGTATTGGTGACACTATATGCAGGGTGACTTGGAATTCCAGTATTAAAGAAAGGCCCAAAATGTACATGAACTTCACCATGGCTATGTATAGTTGATCAAAACAGTTGATCCATAATTATTTTTCCATGTTTTCCAACAGCCACTTTTGAAAGAACAATTTCAACTCTAGTTCCCCTAATAGATCCCTGCCAGACTCCATGTCCACCAGATTCCCCCCAAACAGAGTGGGAACAAAATTCTCACCAGAATCTGACAAAGTCTCAGTGACCTGCATTAATTCTGACTTGGTTAAATGAATTCCAATATTATTGAAGGAGTTCTCCACTTCAGAAACATTCAACTCTGTTTCCTTGAATTGGTCAATGATCTCAATGATATAATTCAGAACTATGAAGAGGGCAGAGGGAGAAATAAGATTAGACTTCTAAAAAATACTTGCTTTTCTATAACTGGCTTACTGTATTTTTTCCTATGACATTGTCTTCAACACTGTATGTATTTTATACCCACTAAAATCCAACAATCCAACTGTAGTGAGCCAAAGAGATAATATTGGAAGAACTATACAGCAATAGGTTTGTAGCATGGGAAAATATTTAAAATAATTTTATTAGAGCTCTTCTTTAATTCCTCTAGTTATAAGAGGAAGGGAAAGAAAAACATATATAGGCTTCCAAGATTCTGTTACAATGATCTATATCAGTAAAATAGTTTCAGTCATTTTTGAGGAGACTGTTTTCTGACCTGGTCTATCTCAAAGGGCTGATAATAATCATCAGGATTTATGTAGCCAAACATGTATAAGTACATCACATAAGACATTGCTTTTGAAAATTATTTTCATAATCTGTCCTAGTTTACTTGTGTCTAACACATATCATTAAACCTTTCCTGGTTTATTTATGCTTAGAATGGTTCATTAAGACTCAACAGTCAAGAATCCCACTTCCAAATTTGGAAATAATCTTGCATTCTCTTGGGCATATTTCAAAGAAATCTATGCTTCAGATTCAAAAGCAAAATCTAATTTCAGATCCCATGCTGATAATAATCATGGAGTACAAGTTATGCAAAAGTCTCATCCAGGACCAGAGGTATAAGTGACCATCAGGCCTTATTCACCTTAAATTTTCAAGACTAATAGAGGCACAATTTGGAAGAAGATATGACATTTTCAGCAATTTCCAAAGAAGCAGTGGTCTTCATATTCATCAAACTTTCAGAAACAAGATCATGCAAGATAACTTTGTCAATAAACTCAGATGTTAAGAGTGACCACTAAATATGATAGCGTCCGATCACCATCATTTGACTTGTGTTCCTCATTAATGTCACTCAGAAACTGCACACTCGGTTGTATTGTCAGAAATATATTTTGAGCCATCATGTCAATGTAACTTTTAGCAGCAATGTTGATAGATCTTCTCCAAGATCTGTCCCAGCTTGGTCTTTTTCATTTTGCATGGTTGCCCCCCTCACTACCATAGTAGATTTCATCCATCTTACTAGTGGCCATTCTCTTCTTTTTCCCTCCACCTTTCCCTGAATTATAGTCTTCTTAAGAGAATTGGTAAAATCAGAAACCACTGTTCTTTAGGAAAGCAGTGAAAATCTGGCTTTCCCCCCAGATGTTGATGAAGCTGGCAAAGAGTGATTGGTGGGATAAATTATTATTATTAGAGCCTCAATAAAATTCATTGTCTCTTTAATATATTGTGTTTTTATTTTTTTTCACTATTCAATGTTGCCCTTCTGGGAAGCTATGTAAGTTAGTTTAATAAATAAAAGGGTGGATTGCACTGGTGATATAAGCCACTCAGTACTATTTTTCTCTTTTGCTATTTCTACCAAAGAAATATCCTGCCCTGTTTCAACTCACTCACCTTCAATGTCTGAAAAGCGTTTTAGTTTGAAAATCTTCTTTATGACTTGCCCAATATCAACTTTTCCTTCTCCTGGAAAATGAATACAGTTAATCAGCAGTTGCTTAAATCCCCGCCCCTTATACATGATGGGAGAATAATGGAATTCCCACAGTATTTGAATGGATTGTAAAAATGTCAGAACTGGCAAAACTGACCAAATTGGTCAGAGAACAAACAACAAAAACTTTGGAAAAATGAAAAACTTTATACTGATCTTTTCCTGAAAGAAGAAAAAAATGAATTGATATTTATGGATTGAAAATGAAGAAAATATCCAAAATATATAAGAGAGGAGGGGGACAATAAGAATGCAATTATCTATTTGAAAGAAGGTTGGAAGTCACTTATATGGTTCTTATTTTTTGCACTTTTCTGTTTTTCCTTTTTCCCCCTTTTTGGTTTGTCTTTTATGTCTGTTATGGAAATTCATACAATTATAAATAAACAGATATTTTCCTTTATATAGTCGGTTCATAGAAGGTTATCTTGTCTGTTTTTGTATGATCAGATCAACATTCAGTGGAATCTTCAAGTGAGAGTCAAGGTGGATTAATGCCAGACACAAAACACTAGGTCCACATGTGGAGATTCAGTTAAACTAATTTATTGCTAAAAGCCAATGTACAGGAATCTTCTCAACTAATGGTTGGCACTTGCTTAGAGTTAGATAAGGGCCAATTACTCTCAAGGTGAATTGGACTTAGTTCTCTTGTGGCTAAATAGGAACCCTAGGTTCATTTATCCTTTTCAACTGTCCCCAAGCTCTGCCATTCCTTTTCCTACAGTTAAGTAATAAAAACGTCATCTTGGCATTGTATTGTGAACTTTGCCTCTTTTCTATTCAGATTACAATGCCACATGCCTCCCAAAGGTATGCTTTTTTTTTTGCTACATTATCTTTTAAATTTATTTTTCACATTTCTATCCCACCACAATCCAACGACTCTTACCAGCCTAGGGGGACTATATAACAAAAACAGCAAACAACTCTGGACCACAGATTCTTGCCTACAGCCCTCAGATTTTCTGGTGATCCGCCATCCTAGTATTAACTAAGTCCAAACATCTAAAACTTTTCTATGACTCAGAAAGGGTCAATAATGCTAGTGTGTGTGTATGTGTGTGTGTATGTTCATGTATATGTATGTGCATATGTGTGTGTGTGTGTGTGTATGTATATATATATATATATATATATATATATATATATATATATAGGTAGGTAGATCTTGGCATGTTCAGGTCTTTTCCCATGTAAGATTGCTCGCATCCTACATACCTGTACCCATGAAAATCTACGAAAACACACACACACACACACACACACACACACACACACACACATATACATATATATGGTATTCAGCTTTGTTCAGGTATTTTCCCACATCATTATAGTTGTGCTTTTAAAGTTGTAGCAACGTTTTGGCAGAATCTCATCTGCCATCATCAGACTTCTGTATTGGGTTTATCTGTGAGTCAGACTTTCACAGCCATTTCAGTTTTAAATTTGGGGCTAGCCTACTGCTGTGCCAGAATGGTTTTTTCTTCATCCTGGTTGGTTGGGAGTCTTGGTCTGTGTTTATTGGTCTTGGCGTCTGCTGCGTTCTGCTTGATTGGTGTTTCTAATATCTTCTGTCTGTTTTGTGGCTTTTTTTGTGTCTTGATTGGCTGGCAACATTATGTTCCTGTATTGGAGGCTTTTAATGTAGCTTGGCTCCTAGTAAATGGACGGCTACCATTTATTAGGAAGCTAGGTTTTATCTGGATGCCTGGTTGGGGTGTGTTTGAGCTGGAGGTATCGGGGGGATCTATTTGTGCCCAGGTGTTTGCCTGGCTTGTGGTGTGGAGATTTTTTTGTTTGTGAGTGCAGGCTTCCAAATAATTGACAGTCTGGTGGGATCATCTTTTCTATTCATGCTTTCAGGTCTTTTTTCAATCTCTATGGCTTCTCTGATAATTCTGTAGCTGGGGTTTTCTATAGTGGCTAGGGTTTTGGTGCCACTGAAGTTGATGCTATGACCTGTTGCTTTCGTGTGTTGGACTAGTGAGGAAGTATGTTCCAGCTTTTTGACTGCATTTTTGTATTCATCCAGGCGGGTACTTATGCCTTCAAAACAGACAGAAAAATAGCAGCCATCCTTAGAAACCTCAAAGATAAAATTGACCTGGAAAACCAAGGCATATACAAAGTCCCCTGTGCATCATGCCCGGCCACATACATTGGACAGACCAACAGAAGAATAAGTACCCACCTGGATGAACACAAAAATGCAGTCAAGAAGCTGGAACACACTTCCTCACTAGTCCAACACATGGAAGCCACAGGTCATAGCATCAACTTCAATGGCACCAAAACCCCAGCCACTATAGAAAACCCCAGCCACAGAATCATCAGAGAAGCTATAGAGATTGAAAAAAGGCCAGAAAGCATGAATAGAAGAGATGATTCCACAAGACTGTCAATCATTTGGAAGCCTGCACTCACAAACAAAAAAATCTCCACACCACAAGCCAGGCAAACACCTGGGCACAGACAGATCCCCCCTGATACCTCCAGCTCAAACACACCCCAACCAGGCACCCAGATGAAACCTAGCTTCCTAACTAATGATAGCCGTCCATTTACCCGGAGCCAAGCTGCATTAAAGGCCTCCAATAAAGTAACACACTGTTTCCAGCCAATCAAGACACAAAAAGAGCCAAAAAACAGACAGAAGATATTAGAAACACTAATCAAGCAGAACACAGCAGACGCCAAGACCAATAAACACAGACCAAGACTCCCAACCAATCAGGGTGAAGAAAAAACCATTCTGGCACAGCAATAGGCTGCCCCAAATTTAAATCTGAAACCACTGTAAAAGTCTGACTCACAGATGAACACTATACAGAAGCCTGATGATGGCAGATGAGATTCTGCCGAAACGTTGCCACAACTTTAAAAGCACAACTACAATGACGTGGGAAAATACCCGAACAAAGCTGAATGCCATACATACAAGTACCCGCGAAAACTTAAGAAAACACACACACACACACACACACACACACATATATATTCTGAGGTTTTCGTGGGTATTTGTATGTGGATGTTTGGTTATTCGGGTTTTCCCTGCCTCTTTATAGAAAGCTATAGATATGTATATATCCATATAATCACCAACAGATACTTGAGTTACAGAAATCTTTACCTTAAAAGAGACACTTTCTGAAGAGATCAATTTCTTTTCCCTGGTAACACTAAGAGTCTGAGAAGAGTGCTTCCAAGCAGTACTTACTGTCAGCTGCAATCATCTGAATTAGATCCTCAAACTCCTGTGGGTACAAATAAATGCCCATATTCTGGAGGGTGGTTTTGAGGTCCTTCAGAGAAACTTTGTTCTCTTTAATATTGTTGATTGCTTGAATAGTATCTTTCAACACTGAGGGGTAAGAAAAGTCACATTTTTATCTACTGTTTTCTTTTGGATGAAACACTGCAACCTGAATTCTGTACTTAATCACCTTTCATATGAGTTGGAATACTTATATAATTCACCACATCCTGATTTGCATGCATAGCAAGTTGGTTTAGAATAAGGGAATTGATAGTACTGAATTTATTAGGAAGGAATGGACCCTTAGAAGACCCACCCCAAAATAATAACTAGTACGATAAGCAAGACAGGAAGAATACTGACATTTTTTTAAAAAATTTGGTGTTGGAGATCAGCTTCTTGAGATACAAACAAATGGATCATTAAACAAATAAACCCAGAATTTTCTCTTAAGGCATAAATGACCAAGTTCAAATTATCCCACTTTTGACACAGTATGTGAAGATTTAACTCTCTGGAGAAGACTCTAATGCTGGAAAAGATGGAAGGAAAGAGAACAAGAGGGCAGCCATACATGCACCATTGGAAGATTTGAAAAAACAGATTAGGGTTTATTTGGGGGAAAATCAGTCTATATGGTTACTAAGATTCAAGATAAGACAGGTTATCAGGTAAAAATTAGGGCTGATCTTCAGATATTAACCAAGACCAGTGTGGTGATTTTTCAAGGGCAGGAAAGTCTGGTGTTAGACTTCTACCAGCTCCTATTTCCCTCCTATACATTGAAAATAGTGTTTTTCAATTTGTGCTGAACAAATTGAATATAGATATAGATCTGTCATTTCACCATAGGCAAATATATCTACTCTAACTAGCTATGATGCACTATATGCCAACAACATTCATTCCCACTGATCATTGCCATCCATGGCCATTCTGTCCAGAGCTGCCAAACTAACTGTTTGGTTCTGAAGGGACCTTGATTGCTTTTTTGATATTTCTGAATTCAAGTCTAATGGAATTCAGCGGATTATTATTTTTTTTAAAAAAAACCTTTTTATTGGACTATTATTTTCTTTTTACAAGTTCAATGATGGAGACAGAAGTGGTACTTTCTTCTTCTTTCTTACAAGAAAAAAACAACAATGTGAAATTGCCCAGAATTTTGCAGGCTTCATTTTACATCCATAATGGTAGAAAGGGTTGTAAAAACTGGGATTTTCTTTCCTTTTTAAAGATTCCAGACCACTGTCAGATGTACCAAATGGTAAGGCACCAGATACAAGAGAGAGTCAACACAGATAGGCCCATATAATGGAAGCACATGTCCTTAAAGACAGAGAGAAAGGAAACCAATTATTACTTCTTTTCTAGGCATAATGGGAAAACTAATGAAAATAGAGGCATCTATCAGTTGAGAACCTTGATAAAAAAAACAGGACACAAAAACAGTACCATGTTCAAAGCCAGCTTCATTTCCAATAGGACTACACAAGAAAGTCAATTTGCTTCAAATTTCAATATGGAAAAACAAAATCTATTAAGTGAAGAGTTCAAGTCCCTCACTTTGTCAACCTAAGAGTGACAATTCCAGCTGAATCTGTTATGACCTGCCAGCGGCTGACGGAGTTGGCAGCGGAGTTGGACAGTAATGAGGATGTTGGGGAGGAACCTAAGCCAGTCTTGGAGACTGAGGAGGGTTCAGACGAGGGCTCTGCATCGGAGGCAGGGATGGGGCCAGGCAGTCTGGCAGTCATCAGCTGCCTTCAGACTCAGACAGCAGTGATACGGGGGAGCTTATGAAACCGGTTCCCAGTCTGTGCATGTGCAGGGCTACCAGAAGACAAGAACAATTGAGAAAGCAGGGTCGACTCAGTAGTAAGGCCACACCTCGGAGATGATTGGCCCCATGAGACATAAAAGAAAAGTGAATGGGATGTGAGCTTTTGCAGGAAGCAATTAGTTTGTCTGGTCAATTCAAGCTTTGAAAAGTTCTGTTTGACTCTATGTTAAATTTGGCCTTGCCCTGCAATTGGCAATTAGTTTTCTGGCATCATTCCAAGTGTGATAATATGGGTGTTTATAAACATTCCCCTGAAAGACTGTTTGTGAAGCCTTGAAGTCTGTGAATGAACGTAATTCACAGTCATTGAAATAAAAGAGGCTTTGCCGGAACTAAGATTGTGTTCTATGCTTTCTAAGGGAGCCTAGGTCAGAACAGAATCTGATTTTGGAAATTCTCTTTAGAGTACTGCATTAAATAAATCTGCATGAGACACTTTTGTGCATATCTACCAGATATGACATTTTAATAAAGAACAGATTGCAGGCAGATGAAGGTAGAGACAGAGCATGTCTAACTTTTGTGAATGTATGTGTGATTGGAATATATCGGAAACCATCAGACTAGAGAGGCAGGAGGAGCACTTCCATGGGATGAAGGGAGTTTCAAGTAAAGGAAGAGACTGAGAAGTGGAAAATGTCTCAGCTCCATCCACATCAGACATACAAGACATGAGAGGAGGAGATCAGAAGATTCCTGAAGCTGGGTCTGTTTGCCAGTTAACTGGAGCAGATGATTTATAGGACACCTGATATGCTTGTGGGAAATTGTCAGAAGAGGGTAGTGACATAGCTATGGTTCATTCTCACTGCCCACAACCTATTTTCTGCTGGGAATTTGGGAGGATGAGCTCTGAAGGGAAGGGCGATACAATGAAATGTGTGGCTGACCTTGGGAAATGAGGGGAAGAGGTGCTCTCTGAGAAACAAACAGACAAGAAAAGCAGGTCCTCCCAGTGGCTTAGCAGTCAAAAAAAGAAACCTAGGACGATCCACCATACTGGATCAAGCAATTAAAAGAGATGGTGGGAAATTTGTACTTTTAAGACTTGCAAAATCGAATACAAAATAAACTGATTCTGATTAATAGGATCTTGCAGGTACCAAAATGAAAACTGGGGTTTTTTGCCTTTCTTGTTTGATTATTTCTTAGGTAGCATCTCTCTCCCCACCACCCCCTCTTATTTGAAACACACTCTCAATATAGATCTGTCTTACCCTGGGACTCCTTTCCCTTAAGTACTCAAATAGGCAAGGGATTTAATTAAGATTATCCTGCAAGCCAGTTAATGCATCTTTCCATACACTGACACACTCCTTCCCCAAATAAAAGTTATCCTCTTTTCAAGATAAGTTGCATTGTTAACACATCCATCTTACAATAAGTTGCATCTTGTCTATTACTCTTCATGCATGTGCATTACAATAACTGATAAGAATAAGATCCTCAAAAGAAAAACTTGGAGATATTGCAGGAAGGCAATATCGGTATCCACTCTTTTGGGCTTCTAACTTCTTAATCACCAATTTTTATCCCTGCCTTACTAGGAATTAGTTTAATGAACAACCTGCCTGCCATTCATGAAACAGGAAAAAAATGAAGTATTTCTTGCAGTTCCCTTATCTTAGGCCAAACATTGATAAATTTGTATTCATTATATTTGTCCAGTGGAAAAACATTTTCCCACTGAGGGTCAGCAGCAACAGAAAATTATGTGTATGTATATATCAAAAGTAGATATTAAAAAACTTGAGAAGGCTAAAATATATCCTGTCCTCCATGACAGAGTAGCAATAACCTTTTACCCCAGCAAATCCATAACTTCAAGAAGACTTGGGAATGGTTGTTAAGATGACAAGAGGTGGCTTCAGAAAACTTTCATACATATGCAGAAAAACTGGACCTCTTTTCATTCCATATTGTTTGAGAAATCAACATTGCTAGTAAAATGGCTTGATATTTTATGACTGATGACTTTCTGGCTGTTATTAATTACATTTGTGTACTTTTTAACAAGCTTAGATGCAAAGGACATCAACAACTAGATATGGAATTAGTATGCAATCATACAAGGACAAAGCAAATTATACTGTATATCTGAAGAAATCTCTTTATATATTCTATTTATATTATATATTACTGAGATATATCTTTCTCACATCTAAATATTAAAGGATTCAGTACAAATACAGAATTGATATTCCTTAAATGAATGAGTAATATTATTTTCAGCTGTTGGCATCAACTTCAATTTGGGGTAATTAATAGAATATCCTGCTAGTTTGCTAAATATCATTTATATCAATACTGGAATAGTAGTGTGAGGTTTGGAAATATATAGAAGAATATCAGAAAACGATCACCTGCAAACAGAACCACTTAATGTTCAACTAAATTACATATTATTCTATAAATCTTCCCATGTTGTCTAATAATACAAGCCAAGGGTTCCATGCAAACATTAAAAGCAAGACTGAAGTAGACATTTGTCTAATTCCACTAAATAACGAGGAAGTAGTAGAAAATATGTCACTCACCATTAGTTTAGATGTGGGAAACTCATAACATTTTGATCTGTTTTATGAATTTTAAATTAAATCTAAACTTATTTAATACAGCAAATATGTACTGCCTGTATGTTTTTTTCAAAGGGTTTTTCAGTGTCTAACAAGGTTACAAATTGGTCTTCATTTTTATACAAGGCTGTTACATCTACAATTAACCTATTGTCGGTTGTTTGTCTAGTTTTTACAAACCCTTTTCGATCATTTTTTAATAATAGTACTTGCTGTACACATTTGCTATCACTGCTCCTAAGAGCTTTGTATCAACATTAGTCTGTAAAATTGGATCATAATTAATTAGCACATTGGATATGATCTTTATCTGATTTTTGTATAACTGCATTATAAGCTTGATTAAATACCTCTGGGGATGTTCCCCGATCAAGTATCATCGTATAATTGCAGGGCACACACACAACGTAAGGGCCACACATTGTAAGAAATTTATTAAAATGATTGTGTAGGAAGGCTGAAGGCCTCAGCTAACATCTTCATCCCTCTCTTTCTCAAAGATCAGTCTAACTTACCTGACAGTTCTTTAAATTGGGGGTTGCGGGTAAGAATTTCAATGAAGTCTTTCACAATTATCTTTCCTTTACCTGCAAGCCAAGAGTAAGATAGATGATAGACTGATAGACAGGTAGACAGATGATACCTCCATAAATAGATAGGGCATATCTTTGAAAATAAAGGGCAAGGAGAAGGGAGGCCAATGGAAGAAATATAGGCCTTCTATAGTGGAGATCTCTAATATTTAATTTAGGAGAAAAAACTTTCCTTGGACCATAATGAAAGAGGATACTTTGCCAATGTAGTAGATTGTCCATGCAGTAATAAACCAGACAAATCAGAAAGCCAATGAATGTTTCTTTGTGGCATTTTTCAGTGTCTGCAGATTTTAGAAGGGCACCACACACCAAAGAAAAATCTTTATCATATTAATCTCCGCGAGCACTACTAGATTTTTTCCCTCCAACATCCTAAAAACTAAATATTTGGGTATGATTAGCCTGCTTAAGCTTAAGTATTTTGATGGGCTTTGTTGTCTTTTACTATAAGGAATCATGGGAAGAGAAGTGAATGGGAGAACAGGAACTGATTTAGTATTTTTACCATGGCAGTTGATTCTTGGAAATAAGAACTGATATTGAGCACACAATGTTGTAGAAAAGTTGGTAGTGCAAGAAAACCATACATTCATTGGGCTTTGGTTTTACCTATAAAAAGGACTACCCTTCAGGAAGGAAGAAGCTCCCAACACGTGAACTTTTGAAGCATTTATCCCCCCCAAAAAATAATAATATGGGGAAAATACCCAGTCCCACACTCTACATTTTTAACAATGTAACATAAAAGCCGTAATCATTATTATTAAGAATGAGTTGAGGGCTTCTTGCTTGGGATGCCAACATTTGGGATTATAGAAGCACTATATCATTGTCACCTCAGAATCTTGTATAGAACAAAAGTTCTTTGTTACAGATAGTCTTTGTTTAGTGACTGCCCCATTTAATATCTGTACAAAGTTTACAATGGTAGTAAAAAAATAACTTCATGATCAATCCTTGCACTGACAATTGTCACAGTGTCCCTGTAGTCATATAATTAAAATTTGAACATTTTGCAACCATGGGATATTTAAGACCATTGCCGTGTCCCAAAATCATGTGGTCGCCATTTTGTGCACTTCATAGTCTGTTTCCAACAAACAAAAACAAACAGAGAAGCCAGCAATAAAATCACACATGAGGTCTCGCTTAATGAGCATGGCAGAAGTGATACCATTGCAATCATATGATGTCCTGCTGAATTATCTTAGTGATGGAGTTGCCAGTCCCAACTATGGTAGTAAAGCTAGGACTATCTGTACAATGTCTGCTAGGTTCTAGTGACATGGATGAAAAATACTTTATTTTGTACTAACCGTCAATAGCAACCTGTTTTAGGGCTTCTTCTAATTCATTTTCATGCAGCTGGATACCCATATTTCTAATAAAGAAAGGAAGATCATGCAGAACCATCTTGTCTTCTTCTATCTTGTCAAGGGCTTGAATGGTACGTTTCAAAACTGCAAAATTGCAAACATGTCCAATTCTTGTCATTAAATGCTATTTATGCTGCCACCAAAGATGCAGAATGAAAATTGAAGAGGACACGAACAATTAATAAAAAACAAAACTTTCAGTTTTGCTCACTAAGAGTCAGAGGAACAATTTTTTTTTGGTGAGGCAAGTCATTTTGCAGTTTAGGTTGTCCCAGATCTATCAAGATGTACAATTCAGTTGCTACATTCTGTCTTAGTTGAAATGTGAGTTTCCAGGTCAGCCGTTTCTCATCCTAAGAAAATATTAATTTTTTTCCCTTCTCTGAAGGAGGATCCTTTGTAGAAATTCCACTCTGATAGTGGCACCCTACACTGAAGGTAGAATATGGGGTAAGAGAAAAGACCCCACTGCTGTGCTGTCTGTCCCTGAGCTTTTCAGTCCTTATTTAATTCTTACTAATTTGACTGTTTTATATTTATCTTTTTTTCATTTTGTAAGTCACCCAGAACTGTTTCAACAGTGGGGTGGCATTTAAATTTAATAAATAAATACGCAAATTTCTGCAAACATTCTCTTTTTTTTCATTTTTGGCAGCTGCTACTATCGCCTACCTCCATGCCTGCTTTGGAGTGAGGGTACAAAAATATACCTTTAAAAATTAATCTGCTAAAAAAAACCATGAGAGACAAAGAGAGGAAATGGCTGTTACTAATGACAATTGCCATTGAGAAATTGTTGAAAAATCTCCCAGTAGAAATGTGGGTTAAAACATTGTGCCCTAACAATTTGTGGAATTTTAAGAGTCCTTTCAATAAGTGAGAAGTTTTGCATTTTCTTGATGCTTGATCTAAAAATACCTATTTTCCCTGGAAATTCTTTTCTTTTCTCAGGTTAGAATTCTAATGTGATGGGAAATTCTAACTCTTGGAGCTGAAACATATAACTCTTCATTTTTAAGATCAAGAGCATTTAAATTATTTGATGACAAGTCAGTGTGGATTGAAAAAGTCAAGAGGCTTGCAACTGTTCACTTATCGCTCCTCATCTTTATGGGTGTCACATGGAGTACTTAAAAAGAGGCAAGTTTTCAATCACATGGTCATAGCCACTGTCTTGACTTTTGTGACCCTGCCTTGTGGATGCACCGTAGCAGGATAAAACTCTACCTGGCTTTCTTTTGGGTTTAAGCTAATATAAACATTGAGACTGAAATGAAAATCTACCATATCCCTTCCCGGCTTGAAAACAGTATTTTGGTTTACTCACTTGCAAATTCACTTAAGAAATACATTTTCTCCATTAAGGATATGAAGCTGTTGAAATTTACTGTCCCGTCTTCTGCAATGGCAATATGAAAACATGTTACAAGTATTCATTTACTTGGATTTATACATAATACAGTGGATCCTTTAGAGAAGGTTGAAGCAAATGTGGGCCTTCAAGAGGTTATTAGATTCTAAACTGTATCAATCTAAGCCAATATGGAAACAAGTCATAAACTTTGGGAACTGCAGTCCAATGTTATTTGGAGAAGTACAATTTCCTAATTCTATATTGTTCAAGGGTATCCATAGTCACATGCAAAAGTTTACGTCCACCCTCCATCCTGAAAAATTATATGCATTAATGAATCTAGAAATAAACTGATATAGCCTCTACATGGTACAATGTTAAGTACAACATTGTTGTGCAAATTTGACTGCACCTTACCCTATAAGAGCAGTTGTTTACTGAGTCAAAATAAGAAAAGAATGTTCACCTTCCTGCTTAATATTTATAACAACTCCTTTTGTAGAAATGATAGCTTCCAAGTAATTTTCTGTAGTTCTTCTATTCTTTCTTTCGATTGTTTCCCACTCTTCCTTGTGGAACTTTTCTAGCTAAGAAATATTTCTATGTCTCCATGCATGATCATATTTGAGGTCTCCCTATATCTCCATAATATGCAATTTTGGGAACTGAAAAGATCCTACATAAACCATTATTTTTTTTCCTGTATTTCATGATTGATTTGGACAAATCATTGTTTTGCTGAAATACCCAGTTTCTTTCTACCTTCAGCTTCTTCAGCAACAGTAAACGTTAGCTTCTAGGATATGTTGATATTTGTTGAATCCATTATTATTTTTATGCCTGTATAATATTGGTTGTAGTACTGGCTCTTGACACCTCCAAAGTGTGATAAAGCCACTTTATATTTTACAGTTGTCAAGATATTCCTTTTCTGCAAATACTTCACCCTTATTTCTCCAAATACATCTTGTGCAATTGTGGTCAAATGGTTCGGTTTTGCTTCATGGTTTGAAAAACATCTTGTCTCAAAACATTTTGAGCTTATCAAGTTTTTCTTTTCCATACCTTATACAATGGTTTTTGCAATCAGGTTGGCAAAAAAGTTTCCTTCTAATAACTGTCTGATGCACATTATTATCATATATAGCAATATTATATAGCAATATTATATTATGAAGCTATGGATATCCCCTCAGTATCACATACATTTTTCAGTGAGTCATTTGCAATGAACTTTGGGCCCTGCTTCGCAGATATGACAGTGTGGAGATGAAATTCTAGCAAAAATTTTATTGGTCATTCAGATGGAACATTTTCATCGATCGTTTCTTGTTACTTCAATTTCTTAACATTATGATGATGATTATTATTGCTAGCTGGAAGTTTGTAGATAATTTTTTAAGCTTTATTCTTATTTCAAATGAAGTGTGCATTATCTTTATTATCAAATGCTCAGAAATTGCCATGGTAATTGGAAATAGATCGAACAATAATCACAGACTAAAACAATAGATTGAATAGAGCACTGATTTTTCTGTGGAATGGCTTCAACTGCCTAAATATAGGCCTATTTGGGATGTGTGTGTCATATTTACACCTTTGCAGCAGGGGTGGGATTCAACCGGGGTTACTACTGGTTCAGTGAGAGTGCATTTTGCGTGTGTGCTCTTGCTTCACGGGCGCATGCTCTTGACGTGCACTGTGTATGCGTGTATAGCATTTGCAAAAAACCATCTGTACCACCCGGACAGCTAATAAGTGCTGCGCATGAGTGCGCAGCATTTGAACATCCTCTTCTTTTCTGCTTTTTCAACCTCAGCTGTGCTGCACAAAGCAGCTGAGGTTGAAAAAGCAGGAAATAAAGGACAGCAAGAGCCGGGACAGGCGGGTGGGTCAAACAGATGACCAAAAGGTCATCGCAGCAAACCGGTTCAGTGTCTGCTGCTCTTCCAAGGTACTGGTTCTATAGAACTGGGCCAAACCGGTAGCATCCCACCCCTACTTTGTAGTAAAAAAGGTAGTACTGAATTAACTGGTTATTATGGTATGGTATGGTTCCAATGCTAGAAGAGTAGCTTCTTTAGTTAAAAATACAGCCATTTTTACAAATTCACACAAAAGCCACGATTATTCCTGCTTCCATAGATTGAACATAATATGTCAGAAACTTCAAAGAAGCCACTTGTTGAAATTTGTCTAACTGAACATCTTTCTCAATAAATCTGGTTAAAGAATCCATGTTTAATTTCCTGTCAATAAATGTGATAGTAAAGCAGTAATAACTGGATCTCTATTGGAGTAGCCACCAATGCTGACAAAAACTTATTAATTCTTCCACAAAATAGAAAAAAATGTATAATTAAGATGTACTGGAATTTTGGCTAGAATAATTTTGGACCTGATGGTTCCATTTCACTGCAATCTTAGTAGATTTATCCAATACTTCACATGGTATAACTTGTAATTTATTCAGTTTCTGGGTGGAAAAGTGAACTAAGTAATTAAAGGTCAATTAAGGACTCCAGAGCATAGAAAAGAACTGTTTACAACATTATTATTAGAATTGGATGCGCATGTAGATACAATGCGTACAATGAAAAATCATGTTGATCAGCACAAACACACAGTATAAAACAAAAAGATCCAGGTTATGTGATTTAACAGTTGGATAGTGGCAAATAAAACATGAGAACTTGGTTTATCTTTTATGGAAAGTACTGTAGTACTGTTCAATAATAAGCATAAGGGTTTGCTTGTAGGTCTTGGGCTCTGTTCCTGGCATCTCAATATCTTTGGTTGGTTAGGTGAGGATCATCAGTTTGATATGGTATAAGGCTTCTGGTGGTACTCTTGGGCTTGATCAGAATAAAAGCTAGATAGAAGCACAATCATAAACCTGGTCCATCAACCCACTGGCTAAGATGTAAACCCAAAAGAATCGAAGAGACTAACCTGCCACATCTGCATTCTGCAGCATTTCCTGGAATTCTGTGTCACTCATGCCGATTCCCAGTTTGTTCAGGGTGGAGCACAGATCATGACTTTTGATGCTATCTTCCAGAAGCATTTGGATGACATCAAACATATTCTGTAAGGCTGAAAAAACATGCTAGTTTGGGGCAAAATACATGTTATATAGAGATGTGTGCTGAAACAATTTGAAGTTTCTGATGTTAACTCTTGTTTCTCATGCTAACTCTTTTATATTGATACTTTCTGTATCTATAGTTGGAAGCAATTGACTATGATGTCATTGTTGCTAACTATTCTTATTCTTGCTTCTTAAATTACAGCAAAAACCTAGTGCACTAAAAAGAAGCAGATTAGACATTCCTCTTCAATTAATATCATCTAGTGGGTTTTGCCCTTTAAATTTAAAAGCAAGAGAACACGTCAACTTCTTTCAGGCTGCCACAATCAGTGCTTCATGGGCTATTAGGATGATAAGGCAAAAAGTCATATGGTCTTATTTTTTTTCAGTAGCAGCTGATTTTTATACAATCTACTAAACTTAGGTCAATACAGGAACATAAGTAGCAAAGACTCATTGGAAACAATGACCTTCATGCATTAAATTCAAAAATCAGAAATTGATGGCTTTTTCTAGTCCTCTCTCCCAATGTCTGTTCATAGGCCATGATGACAATCTCCAGGACAATTATGGACGCAGATATCTTTATGACTTGCTCCTATCACTTCATATAAAGCAAAAGTAGAATTTACATTTTGAATATGTTTTACTCAGCTGATTCTGAATGTGGCCAACTTTTTTTTCTCTGATTGAAAAAATACCCTTCAATTTATATACATGCGTTAAGGGCAGCATTTCCCAGCTTTGGCAATCTTAGCATGTGTGGACTTCATGCTAGCTGGGGAATTCTGGGAATTGAAATCCTATATCTCAAGGTTGCCAAGGGTGGAAAACACTAGTTTTTTTTTTTTTTAAAGTATGCTAAAAACTAACTAAGCAAGATACTTTAAACAAGCCAGATTGTTGTTTGGCATGGCAGCCAGTATCGAATCCAAATGTTAGACATCTTTTTGTTCTCTGGCTCATGGTTTGAAAGTAGGAAATTACAGTTTAGAAACCCCCCTTTCCTTCCTCTTTGACAATCTTTCCAATAACCAATACTGTATCTGACATGAAAGAAAAAGCTTCATTCCTAAATGTATGTTTGGCCTCTGGTTCATCCCACTAGGAAGCTGGTTTCAGTGTTGCTTCCTTAGTCTTCCTCTTAAGCATCCTAAAAGCTGGTCATTTGCCCCAAGCGTATCAAGAGGGCCAATCCTGTCATGATATGAAGAGTCCAGCAAAGTACTGTGGACAAGTTTGCACCTTCTATGTGAGATAAGCAGCATTCCACACAACAGATGCCCATTTTGCTGTCATCCATAGTGACTGCTTACCATCAGAATGCTTGGTCATGTCCTACTCACTGTCATTAAAAGGCAGTGAGGCTGATGATAAAGGATCGTGTGGCTCCAGTTCAATCCCTTCACAGGAAAAAAATCAAACAAAAAGTCTGCAGAATTGCTATCTAAAGAGCTTTCCTATCTGGGCTTTCTTAAATGACTCCCTAGAAACCTGGGAAAGTACAAATAGTCCTCAACTTACAACCATTCGTTTAGTGACAATTTGGAGTTACAACAGCACTGAGAAAAGTGAGTTAAGTGACTTACGATCATTTTTCATGCCTACGACCATTGTAGCATCCTGTGGTCGCTTGATTAAAATTTGGATGGCAGCTGCCTCATATTTATGACAGTTGCAGCATCCTGTGGGCATGCAATCACCTTTTGCAAACTTCTGAGAAGCTAAGTCAACGAGGAAGCCAGATTCACTTAACAATCATATAACTAATTTAAGAACTGCAGTGATTCACTTAATAACTATGGCAAGAAAAGTTGTAAAGTAGGGAAAAGTTCAGCCAACAACTGTCTCATTTAGCAACTATGGCCATAAGTTGAGGACTACCTATATCAGAGGGCAATTAACAAGACAAGAATATAGCACAGTATGAAATCAATTAGCTAGGATGAGGCAGATAAATTCTGTTAAAATTCTTTGGAACTTTAAAAGGGTTTTGCTCATGTCTTCATGGGTTAGGTTATTCTAAGGAAGCTTTTGCCAATGTACTACTCTCAGATTTGTTTTGGATTTTATGACTGGAAATGTTGGATGTTGCAGTCCCAAAATATCTGAAAGGTACAAGTTGAGGAAGATTGTTTTAGATTGCATCTACTTTATTGGCCTTCACAATGGATATCCATGTAGAATGTAGTCATGATAGATAATCAAAAACATACAGTAGTTTGCACAGTCTGACCAGTTCAAGGTTGACTCAGTCCTCCATTCTTCTGAAGTGGTAAAATGAGGACCCAGATTGTTGGAGGCAATATGCTGACTCTGTAAACTGCTTATAGAGGGATGTAAAGCACTGTAAAGTGGTATATAAGTCTAAGTGCTATTTGCTATTGCTAAATCTCAATGCTTATCCAACAAGACAATAATTAGATTTTCCTAATATTCAGAATAGTATGGAACATACCAACACCATTGATCTTTTAGTTTGATAAAACAAATAGATGGAATGAACTGATTATCCACATGAATAATCTAATACCATTATTCTGTAGTCCTCCACATCTTATGAGTAAAACTATCCAGGGTCTGGTCCTACCTAACATTTGGGAATGATTGCTCAAAGGAGGAAATACATAAATCATCCTGCATAAGGCTTCTCATTGAAAAGCCTGAATATCAGGATAAGAAAGTAAAAGACAAAAATGGAATATTGATTCATGGAGATTTCTGAAGAATTATAAGGGCTGTAGTTCAATACATTTGAAGCTCATATAGAATATTATATAGGGTAGACCAGAGTAAAAAGCAAGTTGATATATGCAACATAGTCAGGAAGAACCAATGAGCTGTCAAGGTTAAAGCAGTGCAAAATCCTGGTAGATAATAGCTCTACAATCTTAAATAGGTATCCATAAGAAACTCTAACTTCAGCTGACACTGATATTATTGAAATGGATGGAAACTGAACAAGGAGAGATTCAACCTGGAAATAAGGAGAAATTTTCTGACAGTGGGAGCAATCAGTCAATGGAACAGCTTGCCTTCAGAAGTTGTGGGAGCTTCATCACTGGAAACTTTCAAGAAAAGACTGGACTTCCATCTGTCAAAAATGACTTATTAACCACATTTCAATGATCCAAAACATGGAAGCTCAAGTGTATATTACATTAAATGTACAACATATCAAAACCCACCTTCCTGAAATGATAGATCTTCTAAATGTCCCATATCTTCACTTTCATCTCTCTTAGCTTCGATTTCCTGTTTGTCTTCATCAAGTTCTTGTTTGTCTTCATCATGCCTAGCTGGGATATCATCTTGGAAGGAAAGTTTCTTCTTTTTCTTCTTCTTTTTCTGCTTTATACTTTCACTACTAAGGCTTGCATGAGGAACTAAAGAAAGATCAGGTAGTATGGGGGGCTTTTTCAATGGCCATCTTGTCTTTGACTGTGTAGCCATTAGTTTACTTTCTCCAAGTGGGAGAGTGGAACTTAATGGAAACAGTGTGTCATGACTTGTATAGCCATATTTTGATCTAATCTTTGGCCACTCTGTGCTTTGGTCTTTTTTGTCCTTTTCATCCATGGAAACTGCAGTTGTTGCTTTGTTGGTTTGCTTTAGCCCAACAGGTTTCTGAAATTTATTTGCTTTCTTCTCTAGGCTGTCAATAGTGATCTCTTCATCTGGTTCATATAATCCAATCAAGTGAGCATAACAAAGTGGTATCCCCTTATCAAGCAAAATATTTCTTCTCCTTTCTACTTCAGAGTCATCCATAGTAGGAAAGTCTTGACAAGATTCTCCATCCAAAATACCATACTCATCTATAAGTAACAATCAGAAGAAGTAATGAGATTATTAACTACTGTACGTGTCAAGCTGAAGTAAGGAATCTCTATAAAAGTGCTATCTGCACTCATACTGCCAAATAACAATATTTTACACAATGATTCCCAGAGGTATTGTTACCAGTATAGTAAAAAGAAAATTACAATTTTATTGTGAATCCACAGTACCCATCATTCTTCATGCAGGAACAACATAAATGACTTATCTTCAAGAAGTGCTTATTTTGTTTAATAATCTTTGCTCTCCTTTTAGCCAATTATCTCCTTCCCAATCAATGATTCATAAATACAACACAGGAGGATGAGCTTTTCTAAAGATAGGATATTCTAAGAACCATTAATAAAAAAAAGCAAAGTGTGTCTTCTATTTTAGTTCAGAAAATAAGTATACCATAACTTTTTGAATTTTAGGAATTATACACATATTTTTTTTCATAGTACATCAATCTTTTTTTATATCAGTTTAAGATAGCATCCACTTACAACAACCCAAAAGTAACTTACAGAGACCAGACTAAAACAGGGGGCCCCAAGCCCTGGGCAATGAACTAGTACCAGTCAGTGGCCTGTTAGGAACTGTGCTGTGCAAGAGGTGAGCAAGTAACCAAACCTTCATTGGCACATACACAGGCTCTAGTTTGCTATTCTCCTCCCCTCCATTCCCATCTGCGGAAGACAATTTTTCTTCCAAAACTGGTCCCTGGTGTCAGAAAAGTTGGAGGCCACTGGGCTAGGTAACATTTTACCATGAACCTAATTCATGAGCTGTGAACACTTACGCATGTGTTGACTTAATAATCCTCTCACAGATGACAGAAATTCTGAGATGTTCAATTTCCCATCCTCTGTCAAAGAAAAAGGGAGACTTCAGGAATGTACTGTATAAAGGAATCTCTTTCCCCACATTTACATCCGTATGCTTATAGTTTCCTATTAGGCAAATTACTGATTAACTATTGTTATTGATAAACTGAATCTTAGCTACCTTGAAGAATGAGCACTACAGTGGAGACTACTGAAGTCCAGCTTTATTGGTTTATTGAATCAAAAGTGTGTAGTCTTGGCACAATTGGTTTAATTGGGTTTTTATTAGTTGATATGTATTTGGACTTTGTAGGAATGGATATTCATTTCAGTCAAACATGTACTTGTTGTTACTGGGACAGAAAATACAATGTCATTTTGAGTAACTGATGTAAAACATTACCTGAAAACCTCAAAACTTTCCTCCCCATTCTTCAACGCAGCTAATTTTCATCTCAATTTATAGTAAAAGCTTCTATCTTCATAATAAATATAATAGAATGATAAAGGAAGGAAATTGGCAATGTCTCTAGTGCAGTATTTCTCAACCTTCGCTGGAAGATTCTGGGAATTAAAGTCCACACAACTTAAGGTTGCAAAGTTAAGAAACACTGCTCTAGTGTTTAATTTTGATGTATATTAAAAAAGAACTTGGAAGTATAGACTTTACATTTCCTTTGAGATGAACTTGGATGAGTTCAGATTTTCTTTCTGCCTCTGATAATAATCTGGTTCTTCTGTTGAAATCAAAGACCAAAGACACGTGGTACCATCTCTTCCAATCCAGCATACACTGAAATAGGCATATACTTACTGGTAATTGTAGTGTGTTCTAGTGTTTGCTGTATAATTAGGGGACTAAGGCTGACCCCCAAGCATGCTAAAATTGGCTCCAATTCTTCAATGGCTATCATATCCTTTTTAATGGTTCGGAAAATCCTCTGAACATTTTCAAAAGCTGCAGAAGATGCAAGAGAACAAAAACAGGACAGGACAATTAAAAAGCACAAATTGATAATCACCTAGGTATAGTATAGAGAATAATAGAGAATAACTTTTACTGTAATAATTTATGATTAAGATGGCACTGAACAAATGGTGTTATGACCAGTCACTTTACTTACAGCCCTTTCAGCATTCCTGTGGTCATGTGATTGTAATCTGCAACCTTTCCTGCCAGTTTCTGAGAAGAAATCAATGAGGAAGCCAGCAGGAAATCATAAGTTGCAGTCACATGAGATTCTTGCTCAATAGCCCATGCAGTTCTCACTTAATGATGGCATCTGGGACTGCCAGAATTGCTGCTGTTAAGTTGTGTGGAAGTTTTAACTCAAGGACAGAGTTTCTGGTCCCAATTAGTGAGGACTACCTGTATTATGGTCACAAGCTTTGGCCAAACTAATATCACAGAATGTTCACAGAAAATTTCAGTAGCATGCGAATAAAACCTAGAAGAAATACTATACTCAGTAAAGCATTTTTGGCCCAGACTTTTCACTGATCTTGCAGAGGTTCTGGTAGTGATTAGGTTTCAGAAACAGAGGTGGTATTCAGCAGGTTATGACCAGTTCTGGAGAACCAGTGGTGGAAATTTTGAGTAGTTATAAGAACCAGCAAATACCACCTTTGACTGGCCAGCCCCCATCTAATTCTCTGCCTCCTGAGTCCCAGCTGATTGGCTGGGTCTTATTTTGTTGTCCTGAACAGGAGAACGGAGCTGGAAAACAGGTTAGTGGGGCAAGGAGGGAATGTGGATTTTACAGTATCCTTCCCCTGCCACATCCACCAAGCCACGCCCACCAAGCCACACCACGCCCACCAAGCCATGCCCACAGAACCGGTAGTAAAAATATTTGAATCCCACCACTGTTTCAGAACCATCCTATAGCTAAAAATTGACATAAAATTATCTTAGAATTGGGCCTCAAACAACTTTTAAGTTTTGTAAATTCATATAAAATGGTCACTCCTAATTTTTTAAGTCCTCCAGTTCTGCATCTGGCCATCTTAAAAGGCTAGTGACTTGATAGGTATTGATCAGGGTTAGGAAAACCTTCAGACATTACAGTTATCTGTGGCAAAGGACAGAACAGTGCCTTCCTTCTTGCTCAAATTGTCTGTTGAATCTTATTGCAGCATTAATGACATCTGAGAGCCACAAGCAAACTTAAAATGGCATGAACAAATGTAGATTTGATTCAGAGAAGGAGGAAGGACACGAGCCATTACAAAAAAGGTACATGAACCTTGAGAACATAGAAAATGTGAGAAAGAAATTCAGAATAATTTTATATTGACTGTAAATCTATGAGAAATATTCTACATACCCTCAAGATCAATGTAGAGCAAGGTGTTACGTGCAACATCCAAAAAGTCATAAAAATCCAGACTGCCATACGCTGTATGAAAAAGAAAGGCAAGACAAAATGGTAAAAATGTGAGGCAACTAGTTAGTTTATAATTTTATATATAAATGAACCAAATGTAACATGTTCTACGTATTTATTTCATGTACACACACACACACTAACAAGCATGCACACAAGGATTACTTGTTTAAAATTCTGCAAAATATTAGTTTATGAAATTCCTAGGCTCAAGGATAAGAAATAGCACAGACCATCAATAGGGATAAACTGGAGAATTTGAAACATCTGATCTTTGGACAGGAGGATACCCAAAGTGTGTAAGGTAAGGAGGAGATAGTTGATGTGAATTCTTCCCCTTCTGATGGCAGTAAAAATGGTGCAAGCCCTGGAGAGTCCTGGGAAAGCAAACATAATATTCTGAGTCTGCTAAAAGGCCTTAAAAGCAAATTATATTATTGATTTCTTTCACCTAAGGAAATCTAGATATCCTCAGTGTGGAATCTATTTTAGATCTTTTCATCAGATTATTCCACAAAAGCTTACAGGAGTCTGGCAACAACTTGTTTGACAAAAGCAAAAACATACTTGGTATGAGATGGGCAGCATACCAAATAAATAAATAAATACGCTACTAATTTCAATAGCAAAGAAAAAGCAATCATATTCTTTCTTACCTTTTGCTCCATGGAGAAGACATGGGTCAAAGTGCTCTCCCTCATCACAGAATGTTGTGTAGAGATTGTACATAGCTTTACTTTGCCTGCCAAGATACATGCACACACTAACAGCTGACAAATACAATCTCTTTAATTTATCTCTTTCTTGCATTCATAACTCAACTTCTTCCAGTCTAGTGGCGGCACCTTGATGAATGGCTACAAGCCTCCATTCCTACTTGTTTAGAAACTTAAACTACAAAATCATGAGCTGATAGAGAAACCAGATTATTTTTTAGAGAAGGAACAAAAAGCAGATACAGACATTCATTCCAAAAGTTGCAATATGGTAAATCAGTATAGCATTAAAAAAGATTGAGTTTCCAATCACATACAATTTTTTTCTGTGTCTACAATCATAGACACAGTGATACTTTTTTTCTTCTGATATTGATGAAGATGTGGAGGTAAAATTTGATTTTCTCACAAGTTTGAATCTCTGAAATGTGAGCTTTACTTTGAGTAATAATGTACAATAAGTATTAGGATTTCTACCAGATATAGATCTTAGAAAGGACAGATTTTATATATCGTTGGAACAGTAGATAGTACAGTGTCTACTAATACTTATTCAAATTGATGTAATCTTGCAACAGTTGATTTCAATCCAAATCCCGAGTTAAGTTTTATTACCTGTTACAGATGCAACTGGTTTAAAATCACCTGTAGCTAATTTCAATTTTGTTGGTTTAATGATAGCAATCAGGATAAATTTATGTTATAAAAGGAGATATTGGGATGAAACATAGAGTTTATCCTGTTTTTCAAGGTGGTTGAGAATTATGATGCCTAAAGTAGATTGGCACTATCTGGAAATGTAGTTAGTTGATGTGCAACTGTGAACAGAGAATAACATGGTTAATAAGGAAGACCTAATACTTAGGATTGTGCTTCTTTGTGATTTTAATTTTAAACACTCAGTTATTTTGAATACCTTACGGCTAGCTTGCAATCTCATACCAAGTGTGGAAAATTCCTATAGATAGTCCCTGATTTATGACCACAATTGAGCCCAAAATTTCTGTTGCTAAGTGAGATATTTGTTATGTGAGTTTTGTCCCACTTTATGACTGTTCTTGCTATGGTTGTTAAATGAATTACTGTATTTGTTAAATTAGTAAAATGGTTGTTAAGTGAATCTGGCTTCCCCACTGACTTGCTTGTTAGAAGGTCACAAAAGGTGATCACATGGCCACAGGACACTGCAATGCTCATAAACGTGAGTCAGTTGCCAACCACCTGAATTTTGATCACATGACCATGGGGATGCTGCAATGGTTGTAAGTCTGAAATATGGTCATAAGTCACATTTTTCAGTGATGTTGTAACTTTAAATGATCACTAAATAAACTGTTGTAAGTTGAGGACTACCTGGATTTTAGCAGTGTCTTCTGGAAACATGACATTTTTGCAACTTACATTAGAGTAGAAGTAGCCCAAGGTTAGCCTTCAAACATATTTTTAGTCATCTGGAAAGTAGTGTCATTTTCTAAAATTAATCTCTCTTATCTCTCTCTTCTACTTTACTTTAAAAATATATTCATTCCTATAGAATAATGTTACCTCCCATCCCAGATGCCCTTAATAGACAGTTCTACTCTTTTCAGTTCTACTCTGCAAAAGATTGTTTTAACATTAAGCTGCAGATTTCAAATAGATACTGTATTTAATATCTACAATAGGAAGAAAATATTTGCTTTCTAATGTAAAAGGGCTTTGTCTTTTTCTTTACTCATTGTTGATGTTCCTCTTATTAAATCAAGTATTCTAGGTTGCCCAAATACCTGTTGCTTCCTTTGGAGGAAAGCATCCTAAGCATCTGAGCTTTGGTAAGTGCCCTGTAGTCTTTCTTCCTTTTCACATTCTTCAATAGTCCTTTCTCTGGTGAGCAGATCTAATGGGGAGGATGAAATGACAAGATGCACTCAACTATACTTTTCCTCAGGAAGAAATATACAGCAACATCTTACTTCTGTACAGATATGAGTTGTTCTTAGGGGGGAGGGGAAGAATCCATTCTTGTCTCCAAACTTAATTTGGACCAGGTAAAGTTAGAGGGGTGTATGAAGTAAAGGCTAGTGCAACTTAAAAGATTTTCTGGCCAAACCTTTATTCCAGTCTAATTATTCCAGCAATATTAAAGATGAGCGATAAACAAAGAAGAAGCACAAAGGTGATGATAAAAAGTGAAAAGAAAATCTGTGCAAACTTGAAGCTCTTCAGTCCTAATATTGTCATAATGCTAACATGTAAGGCAAGGTGGCCTTATTATTATAGCCACCTACTAATTTGAATTCAAAGCAAAAGAATCCTTCTTTATCTCAATTACTTCAGCAGGATATATGGGATTCCTGTACTTAACTGTAGGTTTCTACCTTATAAATTTATAAGTAAATAGATAACAATTTATTAAAGACAAAAGTCTCCAAAATGCTCATGTTGCTGATTAAAGGATTTTTTTTTAAAAAAAATATTTTTAAAAACAAACATACACATACAAAACATGTTTTGTATCTGATTAAAGGTTTTTGTTCTCCCTTTGTTTTGTTATACTGTTTTTTTCTGTTATACTGCCTTTGTTTAGTGTTTTTTACATTATAATATTTATGTAACTACACAATGAACTGAAGATTATATAGGCTGCAAAGGCAGACATAGAAAATAAACCATTTATCTAATGACTAAAAGGTAAAGGTAAAGTTTCCCCTTGCATATAGGTGCTAGTCATTTCCGCCTCTAGGGGCCGATGTTCATCTCTGTTACAAAGCCGAAGAGCCAGCGCTGTACAAAGACATCTCTGTGGTCATGTGACCAGCATGACTTAATGCCGAAGGCAAATGGAACGCTGTTACCTTCCCACCAAATGGGTCCCTATTTTTCTACTTGCTTTTTTACATGCTTTCAAAGTGTTAGGCTGGCAGAAGCTGGGACAAGTAACAGGAGCTCACTCCATTACGTGGCACTAGGGATTCGAACCACTGAACTGCTGACCTTTCTGATCGACAAGCTCACTGTCTTAGCCACTGAGCCATGATTAACCAGTGTCTACACTTCAATGGAATAGGATTTTTGTATCCATCTTGATTATCAGGAGATTCCAATAAAGGAGAATATTTGTAACTCAGAGTTGAAATGAAGGGTCCTTGGGGGTCTCTGAGACATTTCATTACCCAAATTAAGCAACATTATCAGTGCTAGGATGCATAGATAATGTTACATAGTTTGGGTAATGAAATGTCTTCAGAAAACAATCAGGCTCAGAGAGCACCAAGAGCCACTCATATCAAGAGATTGCTCCATTGTGACTTACAAGAGCCTCTAAATTATAGAATTATAGGGCTGTAAGAGTTCTTATAGTCCAACCCATAACTAAGAAAATAATGGCCTCAAAGTGTGATACCTTTCTGTAATTCCTTAGGAGCCTGATTATCTCCTCTGCCACTTTCAATGCCATTGAAGTCACACAAACGCCTCGTGTTGGGATCAATTCCAGAAGACATCAAAAAAAGATGTGGCCACAGCCCTGCTCTTATAATCATTGCATCATCCTACCTTAATTAGTTGATTGAATATACTATAGTTATAATAAAGATGGAATGGGAAAATGGCTTGGAAAAAGGCTATGAGAAGCCACCTTCATACTGCTGAAGAAACACTGCATGATTCCATAATTCAAAGAATATCTTTTCTTCATTTTTATTACAAAGATGCTTTTATTCTCCATATTGTGCCTAGGACAAGAGCCATCGCACTGAGCAATCCTGCTAATAGACCCCCAACCCTGTTTCCTTTCAATTTGGGGGCAAAAAAGAATAAAATTCTGACTTTTTCTACAGATATAACACAATTCCACAGTTACGCTTCTTTGCCCAAAAGGTTCAGTGTGATCTCTCATGAAAAGATTGGCTTAAAGATGATTTAATTAGAAGCCAATTCAGAAATCCAGACTATTTTAATCTCAGCAACTTTAAGATATGGGGACTCAACTCCAAGAATTCCCATCTGCTGAGGTTGTGAAACACAGCTCTACAATTTAGGGGCTTGTAACAGAAGCATGCAGTTCATACAGGGATGCTTTTATTTCCCATTTCTCTGGCTTTGTTTGAGCTGAAAGTATGGGGAAGGATGCTTAATGCTTCCTGGGATCGGCAGAAGTTCAGTGATAGTGGTAATGGAAAAGCTGTCTTTCAGCGTACACTACTACTACTCATTTCCATGGATAATTTTCTAGGAAAACTCCAATACTTTTAAACTAGATCTTAATACAGCCCTGTAACTCTTGCTCTCACCTCATGTCCTCTGAATAGTGGTCTTTGATTTCTCCACATAATGCTTTTGTGAAATGGTGCTTTGGGAAGATGCAGTGGGCTGTGCTTGATCAATCGTCTACGAGAGACAAAAATGAAAAGATTAGCATATTGGGAAAGTGACCGAAATGTATTTCCTGAATTTCATTTTCAACTGCTTTAAAACAAAATGAAACTGACAGCACAGAATGTATAGTCCAATATTTTAATCAGACTAGATAAAGGATTTACAGTGATAAAAGCCAATGTGCCTTGTTCAAAAGAAAATAACTTAAAATGATCAAAAAATATCTGTGATTTGATTAGAAATAGTGGAAGACTTTGAACATAAAACAATAATCAGAATGGTTTTTAAGATGTCATATTTTTTTAAGTTGTTTGTGATCAGTCTGATGAGCAAACTGCAACTGCATAGTTGACTTATCTTCCACCTATCCCAATTTAAATTCTACACTAGCTTATCTACTATATGCAGCCGATGAAGTGAGCTGTAGTTTACAAGTACCTCATAATAAAAGTGGTTGGTTAGAAAAGGTGCTATCGAATTACTTCACTTTGTCTTAAAATTAATGGCTTTATACAATTGTGTGGGCAGGATAATCCCACTATTCATTGGCCATGGACATTTTGATCCTTCAAATACAACAAATACTACAATACTCAAATACTACAAACATTCAGGGAAATAATTCAGTAGCCAAAAGTTTTCCCATCTAGAACTTTTCATAAATTCCAGCCTGCTGTTTGCTTGAACATCAGCTTCTTCTGTCTCAAGATTCCATGAAATGTACCTCAGCACAGTTCAAAACATACAAAGGAGGAACAATGAGAAGAATGTAATAACATGTGGAATAATATGCGGAATGCCCAAAGCCCATCATCACTTGATGTCTTAGCTTACTCAGTTGTACTGCAGCCGCAGCGGTTGTGGAAGGAAGGCTTGCGTGCTGGGATAGAAAAACGGCGTTCCTCTTCCTTCCATTCTGTAGGCTTCTTCCATATGCATACAGGAACAGATTCAACTTCAGACTGCAACTCTGGATTCACCAATTGGGATTCAGTCCAAGTTGATGTCTTTAGATCATCAGTGTCAGTACTAGGAGGAGAAAAATAAACTCAAGACTAGGAACAGATGACAATTCTCTCTATGACTGGGTTCACTTGACACACCTTTGGCTTCTGAGTTAACCCTTTTTTGGTGATTGCAAATACATTAAGTTATTAATTAGAAAAATGGTTGAATTTGCTAAACATATATAGGCTGTGACCAAAATCCCTGATTTTAAATCAGAGTTAAAATTGATCATGCTCAGCATGTTATGCAAAGGCAATATAGTGACTTCGCACATCATGAATATGTTCACTCAGATTGCTAGATGACAACATGAAAAAACCATGTACTGCATCTTGATATTGTAGAAAGTTAGCATGTGAAATTTAAGATTCATGAGATAAATATTATATAGTACAGGATTTCCCTTTCATGTAATAGTTTAAGCAATTGAAGCTGTTACACAGCTGTTACAAAGACAGTGAAAAGGTTAGATTAAACTGAACTGAGTATAACTGAGGCCCCTTTGGAAATTATCTTCTAAACTGCAGGACCAAAAAATCCTGATAATCTTATCTTCTGCTACTCTGACTTACTGCTCTGAAATGAGGGAGGAAAAAATAGTTGTGCTTTTCTCGGGAGTAAGAAAGCTAGATAGATCATCCTTCCAATCTGATGTTTCTTTTTCCCATGAACTAGAGGAATATAATGCTGAGGGTTCTTTATCTTCCTGCAGATCTAATGTTTTTAATGATGGCTGGGTATTATCTGCATTCTGTTCCTTCAGGTCTTTAGATTTTTCCTCTTTAACCTGCTCTCCAGGAGATTTCTTGTCGTGTTCACCCTCCTCATTTGGGTAATTGGATTTGTTCTCCTCAGTTTCTGCTTTTGAGTCCTGGGGCTGACCACCCATTTTGGTATTCTCAGTTAGGTCTTGGGGTTTGCTGTGAAGGAAGAAAAACAAAACATTCATTTACAGAGATGGTTCTGTTCTGGTTTTGGTTCTCTCTAGTTACTCTCCACCAAGGGCACAAAGTTCTAATTGCAACATTTTGGTGATATAGAAGCATAGTAAGTTCAGATATACCTGTAGATATACATATGTTAGGGTTAGGGTTAGGTTATTCCAGGGTTATTCCCCTGGAATAACCTAACCCCAATGCTAGGTTTCTTTCCGTAGGTTATTCCAGGGGATGATACCAAGCACAGATAGTCATTTAGCTACTGCTTTGAATAGCAACTATTTACAATTATAACAGGGATGAAAAAGTAGCTTTGGGACCAATGTGTACATTTACGACCTTTGCAATGTCTGTATTAGACACATATCCCCCATTATAGCCAGTCAGTACTTTTTCTGTAACTGAACCATTTTTTCCTCCCTTGTCCCCAAAGCAGGGAGATTGCCTAAATAAACTATTTCTTCCTGAGCTGTTTTTTTCTGCAGCACAGTGTATCCCTAGAAAGTGCTAACTGCGATAAGCTCAATTCTGTGACCTTAACAAGTTTATTAGAATGCACTTACAGAATAGCAACAGCATTTAGACTTGTATCTCACTTCATAGTACTTTCAAATGAAACAAAGAAAATGTTAAAAAGTTGTATTTATGTAGTTACTTACCAAGCACATCTAAATTATATTAAACAAAATATCTTTATAATCCCCAAGGCATGTCACAACTTTTGAGTACTCCTTAATATTTGGAAATGGAAAGCTGAAAATTTTGACATGACCTAGACTGCTTTACAGCATTCTCTAAGAATCAGCATATTGCTCCCAACAATCTTGGTCCTCCTTTAACTGACCACGGAAGGATGGAAGACTGCGTCAACTTTGAGCCGATCAGGATCAAACTCTTGATAGTGGGCAGTCAGCCTACAATACAGCATTCTAACCATTGTGCCAACCACAGCTGGTGCATTAAACTGGCAGGCCTTAGTTAGTTTCATGCTGAAGGCTTTAGTTTGCCTCTTAAGGAAAGCTGAAATCATAAACACAGAGTCATTTAATTTTCATTTGGTGACATTTCGCTTAATGATCAAGTTGACAGAACCAATTGTGGTTGCTAAAATACATGCATGTCCTTCACGAGCCTTTAAAACAGAAGTCAACAACTTTTTAAATATAACAGTCTCATGAAAGGACATTTTGGCAATCTGCCTTAGAGATGTTATTAAGACTTTGAGTGTCATCATTAACATCTCACAAGAATGTCTGATATTTCTTCAGCCTTAGATGATGTATGACTTCAGAGGCTCCATGGAACAAGATTTTGCCCTATTAATATAACTGGCAATGGATCTGGCAATGGATAAATAATTTCAGAAGTGAAGTGTGTTAGTTATCAGGGTTCCGGCAGTTACTTCAATTAAATCATGAGCCTTGAGCCACACTCCCAAAACTAAAGAGGATTTATTTGAAGGTAACATTCTACTTCCGGCACTAATCTGACCGTAGCCAACTCTGAGATACATAATTCATTGTCACCCTTGATCCTGCTTCCCCCCCCCCCCCAGGTGTATCATCCAATGAAAAAACGTCCATAGCCAAGAGTCATCAATCATGCACTCCAATTACATTTTTTCGCGGCAGAAGCTTCAGCCATCTAATCAGAAGAAAATATGAATGGAATGTACTTTCGATTTACCCTGTGGTCTGTTCTTTGCCCCCCCCCCCCTTATTTCTGTTGTCAACTATAAAACGTGTATACAAAATGTTTTATGAGTTGACATTATTTATTTATTGGAGTTTTTATCCTATTGTTATTACTTTGTAAGTAACTCAAGCAGCAAACATACTTAACATTCCTTCCTCCTTCTATTCCCCCAGCAACAACTCTATGAGGTGGGTTGACTAAATGACTGGCCCAAAGCCACTCAGTTGGCTTTCATACCTAAAGCAAGACTAAAATTCAGAGTCTCCTGGTTTCAAGGTTAGCATCTTCATCACTAAATCAAACTGACTGTCTTTTCTTTTGCTACTTGTTTTGCTATTGCATATGTCATTGCTCAGTTTGTAACTGGGCCAAGGGTTTTACCTTTGGGGTGGATATGTGCAGTACAATGCAGTGCAGATCTGTACATTGGAGAAACAAACCAACCACTTCACAAACATGTGGTACAACATAGGAGAACAAACCCATCAGGACAAGATTCAGCAGTCCATTTACATTTGAAAGATAAAGATCACTCTTTTGATGACAGCAAACTCCACATTCTGGAAGAGAGGACTGCTGGTTTGAAAGAAGGGTCAAAGAGGTCATCTACGTTAAGATTGGACTATTCTCTCTCTCAACAAAGGTGGAGGGATATGACATCGCCTATTTCCTGTTTACAACACAGTCTTTTCAGCAGTTCCAAGAAAGTTCCACACCCATTTGCACCTATTAACCTAGGTGATCCTGAGGGCACAGGTAAACCTCTTCTACACTGCCTCAACAACTCTTAGAAAGAGGGCTAAGAGCCAGATGACTGCAAGGAACACAAATCCTTCCATTTTCCACCATTCAGTCAGAACTGAAAAAGCTTCTTGGATAAGAAGAAAAATGTCTTCCAGGAAAAACAAAGAAAGTCCAGTTACCTTTTCAAAAATCACCTTTGAAATAGCCATGACCTGGATGACTGAATCTCAATAGACAAAAGCTACCCATGTTAGAAAGGTAAGAACTTAAACAACTTTTTTTCTGGTGGTTTATCAAGAAGGATAGCTTTTTGGGGAAGATAACAAAAAGCCAAGATAGTAATATTTACTTTCTTAAACCTCTGTTCTGCCTCATATCATATCAGATGAATGGATGAAAAAGGCTCTCACAGTTTTAGCCTGAAATATCTGTGACCCAACTTACAGAAGCCAGAATTAAACATGAGACCTTCTGCATCAAAATAGAAGCTGTTCCACCATGCCTAAAAGTACTCATCTTCAGGGAAGATATATTGTCAAATCTAAATTTTTAAAATGGATAGTGGCCTTCTCTGAAGACGAGAGATATTTTCAGATGTCTTTGGCAAGGATAAATATTTTGAAATGTAAGAATGAAAGTCAGGCGTCACTCTCTGCAGTTTGGATAAACTGCTTTAGTGTAAATCAACATTTCACTTTTTTCAATAAATGTCCTCAGACTCAAAAAACTGAATAAAAGATTTTAAAAAATGTAAGGGAAGATTCTTGTTTCAGGAATCCAACTTTTATTTAGGTTCCAGTGAACATATTTTATTCATGAGAAAAGTTCACAAGTATGAACCTTTAGGAATCCTGACAAAACAAAACACCTGTTTATTTTTATTTATTTTTATCTAATTTGTAGGCTTTCTAACTCCATGGTCACTCTGGGCAGCTTACAAATAAAAGAAAAGCAATATATAGAAAAGAGAACATAGCTGACTGAAAAATAAATGCTGAAGTTTAAATCATACTAAATTAAATAAAGGGCTTCACAACTACCCAATCCTGAGAAAACTTTTTGTAGTTGCCAAACTATTATAAAGGTGGGTACCACATTATTTTCTTGGGGCAGGAGGAATATCAGTGGAAACGCACTGCCACAGAATAGGCATAATTCTTGGATCCCATAAAATAATGAGCCTTAAAGTGCATATTGATTAAACCAAGGCTCCATTCTCACTAATGCTGTTCCACCCACTCCTTCAGATCCAGCTTATTTCAGTGCTGGGCAGTAAATATGCTAGAATAAAACCTGAGATCTCAGGTTAATTGTGGATTATCAAAAAGTCTCCTAAACACATTCATAGTAATGCAATCCCAGTTATAGTAAAAAAGGGGAAAAAAACTTTGATGCAGGAATAGAATCAATATACCAATTCAAATAATACATTTAGGAAATAAAAAAGGTGTCATATATGTTGCATGTAATATACATGCAATTTTAAAACTTAAGACAATTATACTTGTTAAAGTTTGATTTTGTTTTACACAACAAGTAGCTGATTTTTTTTTACAGATACAAAATTATTAACCTTCCATCTTTCTTGACTGGGATGTCCATTCTTCTGAAACAAAGTTTTGTTACTTCCTCATCAGTAGTGATGTCCAATAAATTCTTCAAAAACAAAGTCCCAATGAAAACATGGAGAATGCTACATCTTAGCTGGAGTGTAACAGAAACTACTATCCATTTCTGACAGCAAACTTTCAGCCAGATAGCAAGCGCAAACAGAAATACTTACAGCAAAATACTGTAATTGTTGCCACAGCTCTCTTGCTGAAAAGTCTGGGATTAGCAAGTTTGCTGGCAATATCCAAAAGGTCAGAAATTGAAATACGACAGTGTCGAACAGCTAGGACAATCAACAAGAGTGTAGAAAGTTTTAAGATTTCTGATTTTCCCCTGGCAACATAAAAGAGGTCTTATGCTTCGTGCCAAATAGTTAATAGGAGGGTCCAAGAGAGTTTGATGGAACTGGCTCTCTGGAGATGGATATGCAGCCCTCCCACCACAGTAGGTTCTCCCCTACTGTCTTGACTTCACTAGTTGTGTGGAGAAGTTCCAATCTAATGATGTCATAGAATAGGGCATGACCTATGGGATATAAATACCTATCCAATTGGTGGAGAAGGGGAAAAAAGGCTCTTAATCATTCATTAACATTAAAGGTCCCAAGCTGCAGAATAATGGATTGATTCAGAAGGATGAATTAGATTTATTTCACCCATCTAACAACCAAGCTACCAAACAAATTACTATTTTAAATTCTGTATGAGACCCTCCAGGAAGTAAATCCTCATAATTATTTGTAGAGAAAGTGGCCTGTAACAATATCCAAGTATTATTCATATTAGAGGCAATCTTTTTTATATTTAGAAACATAGCCATTTTTTTCTCTGAATATTGCTCTCCACCAAACAAATGTAGCTCATAGATGGGTATGGATATGAAACGATGTGTATGAATCTAC